AAAAAAAGAGCTACCACACTGGGAAGGGTGAAGACAACTGGGTTGCCCGGCCCTGGCCACGAGGTGTCCCTTATTTATTTTTCAGGGAGTTGGCAACCCTAATCGTGATCCATAAATGCCAAAAAAAAAAAGAAATCTTTCCGTTATGGAGCAGGATATTCCTGAAATTATTTTACAATCGGCTTATCAGTAGTGTTTTACCGTTTTATTGCTCTGATTGTATGAAAATAAGACGATAGCACTGCCAACAAAGCAAACCTGGCATTTCCGCAACTACTGTTTCGTCTTTCATTCAGACATTGTCAGTTTACAATTTCACATGACAGTGTTTTCCCAAAAGACGCTTGTCGGCAGCCACGGTGGCACGCGTTTGTGGTTGTAGTTTCAATATCCTGAATGAGTTTTTGACTGTTCTTTACTTCCTTTCGATCCTTCCGTGGATTTCACAGAGAGGTGGTGTAGATGGAACCTGAAAATTTCCAGCGTGTTTAAAGACGCACTGTAAGAAAAGCCAGGCTTAGAGCTGGATGTTGGACTATATTACTCATTAACACAGAGCATCCATCAGTATGAGGACTGGATTTCACTACTGTATTGTTATTACTTTGTTGTTACGAATTACATTCCGTTCAGCAACACTTTTTAATAATATAGTACATTTTAATATTTGATTACTTTGATTAATGCAAGTATTAGTGTTTGATTTGCTTAGCAAACAGTATATTATGCCTTATGTTGAAAATAAGACTAATATGATCAGAATTAATCACGGCTGACTGAACTACTGTCCTTGTGTCTGAATGCAGGGTAAAAAAATTTGTCAGTAACACCACCTTATGACAAGGATCGAAGAACTTAAAAACAATATGATCGCTGGCTTTGATCAGTTGTTTTTGTGCTCTATTGTTGACAAAGACAAAGAGCAGTAGTTTTTATATAGAGCTTATATAGATTCAAGGACTCATTGCACACACTGGAAGGTCATTAGTGTCACCTTGTCGTGCATCCACGTGAGTACAGTCAGAAAAAAACTCATGAAAAACTCATCTATGAAGTATGAGACACTTGGCTTTACATTAAAGTGGCATTCAGTAGGTGGGGTTCCCTAAGAGTCTCAAGTGTGGGCAAAAATGATCATGGTTCACAGTAATTTCTATTGTGTGTAACTGTTTCCTCCATTTATCCATTTAGCCAAAAATGGCTCGTTACTTTTGGTAACGAGCCATTTTTGTAAATGTAAGGTGCAGAAAGTACAGATACTTGTCTAAAAATGTAGGGAATAAAAGTAAAAAGTTGTCACAAAAATACATACTCGACTAAAGTACAGATACCTGAAAATTTGACTCACCATCTCGGCTAACTACACATTTAAGATACACTTCACCAAAATAAAACCAGAATATCAAATCTAAATGTAAGCGTTTAATTTTATCTCTATACAGGTTACAGTTTGGAAGCTTGCTTGTTCTGCTATCTTTCTGTAATGGTTAATCCACCAGTATGTACAAGCTCTTTAATTGAAATGACTTTTTTATTTTTTCAAATTTTCTGTGTAATAAAGAAACAGAAAAAATGATAGTAGCCCATGCTCAAAGAAATGTGGATATAAACATCTTCAAATTAAAGCTGAATCTCATACCAGCAGTGCACTGGCATGTGACTTAACACAACATAAATGTGCCACTGTGCTAATCCCTCCTGACTGCACTGTGTAAACTGACCATCCTCAGGTCTGCCAGTATTGTAATGCCAGAGACAGATGACATAATACAAAGTGATTGCACATTGGTAAATCCAATTTAGGAACCAGAAACACTCAACCTTAATAACTGGTCTACAAGCAGTGTGTTACCGTCACTTCATCTTTCAGTGCTCAGGGACACTTCCCCTCTGTGTCACAGCATGGCAGCTGTGCACATTCAGTATTCCTCTCAATGAACTTTAACTCGTCTGACGCATTTATGTATGTGTGAGTGTCATGTGCCTATACTTAGCAATAAAACCAAGTTGCTCTTGTAGTTCGTCCTTACATTTACATGCTATGCTTTTATGCGATCTCACATGGAAGTAGGAGTTTTAAATGAAAAGTAAAACGCATCCTTGGTGTTAAAACCACTAGAGAAGAAGGCCGAACCCCGACATTTGCAGCTGGGTATGTAATTGTTGACTGAAATCAGAGCCTACTCATATACTGCTCATTATATTTAAACCTCTGGTAAATCAGCCAGCAGTAATAGGAAGTAATCTCCAGTTTAGGATCAGCGGGCGAGCTTGGTTATGATCACCATTTAGGAAGTTCCTGCTGGGTGGGAGGGCCTAGTAAGGTAAGCTGCCATGGTGTTAAGAGAGTGCACACACAAGAAGAATTGTTTGCTCTTCCCTTCAGCTGTTGAGAGCCACACAAGCCTGAAGGAAGAGGGAAGAGTTTCACTGGGAGCAACATGAATTCTCAGGATGAACTTTCTCATGAGTGGGCGGACAGCCTCGACAAGGCCAGGGTCAATGATTGCACCCCAACGGGGAAAGAAAGAAACAGCTTGCGAGAATACGCGCACTGCCTGCCTCTGGGAGATGGTGATGACACCTTGGAGCCATCAGCCATCGACACCGCGCGGCTCTTTCCGCTCATGGAGACCAGGCTGTACAAACGGCGGTGGGTGATGCTCTTCATCTTCAGCGCCTACTCCATGAGCAACGCCTTCATGTGGCTGCAGTACGGCATCATCAGCAACATCTTCATGCGCTTCTACAGCATCGGCACCCTGGCCATTGACTGGCTCTCCATGATCTACTTTCTCACCTACATCCCTCTCATCCTACCCGTCATGTGGCTCCTCGACAATCGGGGAATCAGAGATGTTGTGGTGGTGGGGTCCGCCTACAACTGCATCGGGGCCTGGATCAAGACGGGTTCGGCGGACCCCAGCATGTTTGCTTTGACCTTCTTTGGACAGTTCGTGTGCTCGGTGGCCACGGTTTATATCCTGGGCATCCCTTCCAGACTTGCATCTCTGTGGTTCGGGCAGCAGGAAGTGTCCACCGCCTGTTCCATTGGGGTTCTGGGAAACCAGGTGTGTCTTTGTTTACCTGCTGGGTTAAAAAAAATGTGTGTATGGTGTTATTCACTTTTCTTCTTTAAAGTGGGCGAGAGTGAATGAGAGCTCTGTCATCTTTAACTCTTTGTGCAGTATATTAAAAAAATAGCATGTTTCTGTTAGGTCAAGCTATCTTGATTTGTGATTGAGTGTCTCTCCTCCTGTGGATTCTTCTTTCCAACCTTCTTCCAGAGTGGGCAGGTTTAACAAAGCCAGTCACCTTCTTTGCCACTGGTGAAAACTAATGGCTAGTAATCCCTTCAGAGTAAAGGTTCTTAAAGAAACGATGAACCCAGCATGCAGTACATGTTAGCATGCTGGATGCTGAACCATTTTAGTTCTATTAAAGTGCTTCACATACCAGGCAAGCAGTATATGGGAAGTAGAAGGGCATGGTTTACATTACACTGAGCATTTTTACTGTTTAAACATTACTTGGATTACCAGTATCAAAATATGAAGTCATAAATTCTTCATTTTTAAATCTGCCGATAGAAACTAGAAGAAAATATATGATAGGGAACCATTGTCTGACAGAGACTTCCAAACTGTGAGGAGGGTAGAGGGAGAGAAGTGAACAGAGTATAAATCTTTCCAGTAAAAACAGGGATACCGGTATTGTCTAAGTGGTCAAAGTGACTTCCTCTGTGTCTGTATGTGTGTTTGGTTTGTTCTTTCTAGCCAGGGGAAAATTGCTGGGGATGGCGGGTGACTTCCACCGCTTGAGCTGCCTGCTTCTGTGCAAGTTTCCTCACCTTGGGTAAATTAACTATACAGTGAGATTGCACTAAGAATGCTGTGTGCATGGCAAGGTAGTCAGGTCTGCTGGGGCGGGTGTGTTTCACTGCTTTTGCTTTCCTTTTAAAAATCCTGAGAACGGCATTAGACAGACAAAATCATCTGAAAATTCCAAAAAAGGTCACGGGAAATGTCAACATGTATCAAATGAAATCTAATTTACCTTAAATTTACCCACGAAACATGGAGAGTGATAGTTTTATGCAATTTTAAGTCATATCTAAAGTAAAGAGAAAATAAACAGAGCAAATGTGGTGTACTTGGCTACATATCAGTGCTTTGTGATCTCTCCACAGTCTCTAACACTTTTCTCATCTTATTGACCGCTCTGAGCACGCTGTGGTGCCCTTTAACCTCCAAAGCTGAACCATGTCCTCTCCCTCCATCATTAGGCCAAACACCGGCGCTTGTCATGAATGTTCTTGTTTTGTGCTTTAAACCCGCTCCCTGCCGATGAAGATGAAAAGGACGCGCTGCTGTCGATGTTTACTTGCTCACCATGGCTTAATTGCTTTGGCTGCGGTCCCTAACACTGGATGCTTCCAAGTTTTCAGGCTGAAGTCGTTTTATGTAATACCTTGGACATTTAGAAACAGTTCACATTAGCAAAAAATTAGGTAAGGGTTCCAGAAAAGCCTGTGACGCTTTGAAGATCAAACAGACATCAAACTTCAAGCGAGGTCACTGTAATTTGGAGCCAATGAACAATAAGCCTGTTTTGCATAGTTTTGACGAGGTTATAAAAAGTCTTTAGTTTGGTTCAAATGTGTGACTGTGACTGTCTGCTGTGAATGTTTTCTAGAGCTTTTTCTAGTACACTGGCAACAAGGTAAACATTATAGCGAAGGTTCTAATCTGTCTGAAGGCTGTAGAAGGCAACAAGTGTAACAGTGGGTGTAACATTCTCGGACGACTGAAGGGATCGTACATATTTCTGTGTTTCCACTCGTCAAACACTTCACAGGTTTGTTCCTCACAATCGGGAATGTGTCGCGTCACCTTTCCTTCTCTCACCTTTCCCCTAGAGTGGAGGGACCACCACCGGTGTCCCTTCTGGAATGTTCTTGTGACAGTAGGAAGCCGAGGATGTTGGCACTGCTGCTGTGGTATTCAAATTTGGAACATTTACCCAAGATCCACTAGAAGTGTTGCTTTTCACTGAGGTTGGCTGGGGTTTTGAAAGTTAAATTTAGTGACATGTAATCTTCATGTCAGGCAGTTTACAAAAGAATGGTGACTTACGGTGTTACCTGTCTCTGTTAAACAAAAAACTACAGACGGGTTTATTTAGCTACAAATGGCAAATATGCATATATTTTATGTTTTATAATAAGAGGTGTACCATCACTCACACTGATTGCAGCAGCCAGTCAGATGCCAAACAGGCACTGACATTTTCTGCATCAATTACTTATTTCATTTTTTGTTTATGTTTTTGGGGTGTTTCTTGCTTTTTACAGGGCATCATATCAAAGTGCAAACTTTACCCTTCTTTATGTCTTCAGTGACGTGTTTTGCGTTATAGCTTTTTAAAAATTTGGACATATGTGTCTGTGCGCAGGCATCACCTCAGTCCATAGTTAATTATGTGTCTCTCGCTTACAGTTGGGTATTGCCATTGGGTTCCTGGTTCCACCCATCCTCGTGCCTAACGTGGATGACATGGACGAGCTGGCACATCATATCAGTATCATGTTCTACATTAGCGCAGGCATGGCCACCGCCATCTTGGTCCTTGTGGTCATCGGTAAGTGTTTAAAGGGAAGATGAGTGTTTATACATGTCAGTTATGGCTGGAGCCTTTGTAGAACCATTTTGACCATTTCTGTTTGAAACCTAAAATCGTGTTGAAGAACCTGGAGAATTTTCAGGGGAAGAAAATCAGGAAAAGAACAGAAAATCTGTGAGCACAGAATCATCAGTGAATTTTATGCATTGGTCTCCTGTAGACACTGACGCCACTGTTTGCAGCTTCCAGCCAGCATTGATGTGATCTTGTACCGCCCTTTCTGGCCTTGGAGACGCATGGATCCAAGTCTTGATTGAGCCTCACGTTTGTGTAAAAGAGCTAAAGGGTTAGAGTCCTTGTCAGAGCTCTTTACTCACTCATGCAGCAATCGCCCACTGCAAGTCACCTTAAGTGTCACTCAGCGCCCACAGCTATTGGTGTGAAAATATATGAAGCAAAGCATCATCTTGACAATTTGTAGTTTCCAGTGTTACCTCACCTTGACTCCTTTGTCCACTAGAAGAATCACACTGCTGTTTTAAATGAGAACACAAAAGAGTCTTTGAAATCATATTTGCTGCAAAGTTCTCGATATGAACATCCAGACTTGTGTATGGCAGAGCTTTACACAGAGATGTCTGCTCCTCAGCCAGCTCCGCTGGGAAACTGAGCCTGCCCGAGGTGTGCTTTCTAGCGAAAAACTCAACATCCCTTCAACTCCACCAGATGAGCAGCTGCGGTAATTGCTGTAATTGTCCACATTTTGATGAGATGAGTTTTGACACGACGTGAAATACAGGCAGGGGCTCAGGGAGTCATAGCAGAGTTTTATAAAATCACCCCCCACCTCAGCCCCCAGCTCTGTTAAATTCTCTCTTCACCTCCACCAAGGACTAAAAGTCAGAGAAAGTCAGAGAAACAGTGGTGGAGAACCAGTCCCTTGATTACTTGGATATGCTGACTAAATAACTCAAAGCAAATCCTTGGGACACAATCACCTGTGACTGTGACCTTTGAGGTCAAAGGTTTGTGATTCCAGCTTTTGCTGATTGTCGTGTCACGTGCGGAGAACATCTGTGTTTCACTTTACATACTGCGCAGATATATCTGCTTGTCCAATCAAGCAGGTTTTACTTATTTAAAAAAATATATAATCACATGTGAAGCACACACTGCCAATTCTAACTACACATAATGTATATTTATGCTGTCAGGAACATGCATCATATTTGGTAACTCACTAAACTCAATAGTGAAAGATTAAATGCAATAACAATACAGAAAGTGTTACGGAATCAATAAATAGAAGAAATACTGAAAATGTCAACCTGTTATTCAATAAAACCTGTTAATCTACGACTTATGCTTGGAGGAGAAAAGTAATAACAATAGCCACCTAAATTTGGTTAAATTTGGTGGCTGACTTGATGTCCAGGGGGCAGGTCAGATGTCACCCGCTGTGTTAGACACTTACCTGCATTTTCTTAGAAAGGCTCAGTCGAGCATCACATGGACCTTGTACTGGAGAGCTGGCAGGTTAAAGATTATTCCAAATTCTCACATGTAACTCTGTTGGACAATGTCTAAAGATGTTCAGGGCTGCTGTACGTGTGTTAAAACCTGCTTCGGAGACTGATATCTTATCTTTATAAGCATGTTTACTCATGTTTGGAGTCCACTTTTGCTCTTACCTCAGCATCACACTGAACTTTGCTCTTTGCCCCAGTCCGGTGTTTTTCCGGTGCTGTCCTACTAAATCTTATATCTTAAAAACTAAAGTAACCTCCAGAAATGCTGCGTTTGTTTGTGTTGCTTTTCAGTGTTTCAGGAGAAACCTGAGATCCCACCCAGCCAGGCCCAGGCACAGGCCAGGAACATGCAGCCTGATGAGTACTCCTACACAGCCTCCATCTTGAGTCTGCTGCGCAACAAGCCCTTCATGCTCCTGGTGGTCAGCTATGGTGGGTTCCTCCCTCTTACCCGTACTAAACATGCAAACTGTAGCAGTCAGCCCCACCATTTCTAGGACTAAACTTTTACCCTGACAAGAGTTAAGGATACTGTGCATTATGGTCTATGTAACTCTCGTTCACAGTCCTTATCGGCCTCTGAGCACATATATGAGCGAGTCATTAAAACGAATAGAGTTTGTGTAGCACTGATCTGATTGTTTTTTGTGATAGCATTTTTTGGCTCAAAGGTCACTAATTAGTGACAACATAGGAAAGACAGACCAAAGTTGTTCATGTTAAAGGGCTGCTTGAGTGTGTTAGCAGCTGTTTCTCAGACTATAGACTTCTTGCTTTCTTTCTAATCCTTTTAAAATCCATTTCCTCTCCTCCATCTTTAGTTTTTGCCAATTGTCTACCTTCAGTTATTATAAGAAGAATCCTGTGCTGAGTTTCACAACGCAGTTGTTTTACTAATACCCACACACACACATTTATTGATTCACGTGTAGTCAGTTGGAATGCTAACATGATAAGCTGCTGGGAAACAGAAATGTTCATCTTTCAGTTTAAAGCTTTCAAAAAAGGAGAAAGTTTTTGAGTAGGGGGAGTATACACCCTAAAAATGCCCAAATAATCTGATTATAATGTCTCTTATATTGTGTGAGGTTCTCAAGAGTTTTTAGGTAGAAGCACCAGGACCCATCTGGTCCCCACATGAGACCACCTTTCTGTGCAGATTGTCTCAGAATAAACTGTTTTCTGTTTGTGGTCTACAGGCTTGAACGTTGGCTGCTTCTATGCTATTTCCACACTGTTGAACCGGATGATCATTGAGCACTATCCTGTAAGTCCCTATTATAGCCTTTTTTTTCATGTTTGTCAACTTTATATTTTCTGCCTTACCTTCTCTAGTCTTCCTTGTGGCTTATGCTCAGATTGAATAGGCCCAGCATGTAGACACTGTTTGACCGCATTTAACACTGAGCTATAAAGCATCCAAAGATATGGTCCTGACACAGATAACAGGAGTACGATTGTTACGGCTCAGTGCTTCTAGGAAATGACTGCATATTGTGACTTCACAGGTGCAAATGCCAACATTTTCTCTTTCAGGGTGAAGAGGTGAATGCTGGGAGAATCGGTCTGACCATTGTCATTGCTGGCATGGCGGGCTCTCTCATATGTGGCATATGGCTGGACAAGACCAAAACCTACAAGTAATGTATTTCTTTTAAACCCCGTTTTTCAGTGATGTGGACTAAAATCAAACACAGAGCTGTGTTTTCTAACAAGAACCTACATTTGAGTCAAATCCTAAATATACACCATGTCCATCAGAACATGGCTACACTGTGATCATAAAAGGCTGAGTATAAAATGAACTTCACACCATTGCACCATCAACAGCTTAAACCATTGATACAAGGCAAGATGAATACATGATTTCATGTTATTTATTTTAACTTTTGACCCTACCATCCGAATGTCACAGCAGAGATTGAGAGTCATCTGACCAGGCGACACTTTTACAGTCTTCTATTGTCCAATGGTGGTGAGCCCATGTAGTTTAAGATTCCTGCCGTTAGCTGAAAGGAGTGGTAAACCATGGCATTCAAATAAACTAATGTCATTGTTTTCTACAGTCAGATTCTGATGGAGCTTCATGTGCACATGTAAAAAGATGCTCTTCTGAAAGGCAATGTAATTTTCAGTCCTCAGGATCAGCATTCTCACTTCTTCTCTGCAATGTTAGCTGTACTTTAAAACATCGACTCCTTGCATGAATGTCCTTTAAGTCACTCATCCATTCACAGAGAGATGTCCAAGTGAATTAGACCATTTGATTAAAAGAGGCACGTATTAGGATACAACATAGCCGAGTTTTCTGTGTGGTGTTGCTCTCTGCTTATCTGAACTGGCAGGCTGTACTTTACTGGTACTTCAAAGTAGCTTCTCAAGCCTTTTGCCACTGCATGTGATGGAAAAACAGTAATCATACATTACTTCTTTCTACAAAATGACCACTTGCTTTATTCTGCAAGTTAGTGATTTAGTGTTGATAAACTGCCTTCATTAATGTGGCATAAAAATGTTTATGATTAGAGGAAGATTCTCAGTCCACAGATTCCTCACATGCCATTAGGATGGTTATCTGTCAGAGCAGTTAAGCCCAGATTTAGAACGTGGATCCAGAGTGAGCCGGAGGACTGTGCAATATTAACAAAAATGTTTTGCTGCTTGTTTTACGCGTGGTTGTACAAGAAGCAGCTTCAACAGAGTGAATTTGTTTTTGCAGATTGGCGTTGTTGTGAGAAGTCGTTGGTGACACAAAATAATGGCATTCATTTTTTTTGGGGGGGTTGAACATTATCGCTTGCGTTAGTCCTTATTGTGCCCGTCATAACATGTGCTATGATACATGGCTTAATGTCTTAAGCTTTATTGTTGATGTTATGCTCCTGTCTCCACAGACAGACCACCTTGGCCGTGTATATCCTTTCTCTAACTGGGATGCTGGCCTACACCTTCACCCTCAACTTGGGTCACCTGTGGGTGGTGTTCATTACAGCTGGAGTTTTAGGGTAGGTAACCATTAAAGAATATGGACCACCATGGCCATAAACATCACAGTAGGCTCTAGCAGCCAACAGGTAACAGAGCTGTGAATGATCTCTTATATTCTGTCATGCAAATGTGATGGAGGAAAAAAAAAAGATGTTTCTCATACTTTTATTTATTTAAAGAAAACATTTCGGCAAGCGTCAGCAAAGTGAGAAATGCTGAGGGGCTGCCAGCTGTTTCTGAAGCTAAAGGGTTTCCGTGGAGCTGGAAATCCATTTATTGGAAGTGTTTAGAAAACTGCTTAGCTAAACAGAAGCTTTATTGGGCGATCGTGGCTCAAGAGTTGGGAGTTCGCCTTGTAATCGGAAGGTTGCCGGTTCGAGCCCCGGCTCGGACAGTCTCGGTCGTTGTGTCCTTGGGCAAGACACTTCACCCGTTGCCTACTGGTGGTGGTCAGAGGGCCCGGTGGCGCCAGTGTCCGGCAGCCTCGCCTCTGTCAGTGCGCCCCAGGGTGGCTGTGGCTACATTGTAGCTGCCATCACCAGTGTGTGAATGTGTGTGTGAATGGGTGGATGACAGGTTGTGTAAAGCGCTTTGGGGTCCTTAGGGACTAGAAAAGCGCTATACAAATACAGGCCATTTACCATTTATTGGCCCATGCGGGTTGGCATAGCATTGACACTAGTTTTAACCTCGGGGTAATGTTGAATCGTATTGGTCACGTTTAGAGTCCCGCTCGAAACTGATGAAGCTCTGTGTTGTTCAGTTTCTTTGTAGCAGGAATGCTGCTTTTTGAGCAAAACTTAGTGTTCCACAGTCCACAGGCTTTGTCAATAATTGCTATTTATGGTAAGCTGATTATGCCCATATCTGGTTTCCATAGCAATTCCTTTGTCTGCTTTTCACCCAGAGAGGACGTATTAAACCTCAATATACTTGTCCTACTTTTACATTTGTGGAGCATTTTTTCTGCTGGTTTTTGGACAGTTAAAAATAGTTGAGTCACAAAATTCTACGCTGAACAGATCAGACACTTGGTTTTATATTTTAGTTCACCTATATTTTCTGTCTTTCTCCAGTTTCTTTATGACAGGATACCTGCCTCTGGGTTTCGAGTACGCAGTAGAGCTCACCTACCCAGAATCAGAGGGGACCTCGTCCGGACTGCTTAACTGTTCAGCTCAGGTCGGTAACGTTCAGCACGTATGACTGCAGAGAACAAACAAATAACATATCATAACATGTCATGTTGTTTGGGCCTTTAAAGAGCTTCTCACTCTCATTTCAGATCTTTGGAATCATTTTCACCATAGCTCAGGGAAAGATCATGGATTACTGGGGAACTTTAGCTGGAAACATATTCTTGTGCATCTTTCTGCTAATAGGAACAGTGGTGACAGGTGAGATGTTAACCTCATCTCTGTAGATATCGGCTGTTTTCTTTCCCATGTCTGTGTGTGATACTCAGACCAACTTATGTGAAACCATTTTGTGTTGGACTTGCAAAGACTCGTCTCTTTCATAGGCGTATGCTGCCTCCTAGTGGCTAAATTACTTTTCACACTATATTAAAGTTGTAGTTAAAGAGGACCAAAAGTACATATTTTTTAGCGCTACATTTTTATCGTTGATCTCTACTAGAGTAGCTTTGCATGATTCACAGCTAAAAATAACTCGTATGCCTCATTGTAAGCCTTGGTGCGGCCTACTCCGAGTCTGAAACAATCTGACCCTTCCTTTTAAGTCAGCTTTTTTCTGTTTATGTGCTCTGCATGCCTAAAGTGACAAAGGTAAGGATATACACTGTCACTGACATCATACAGAGAGCAGAAACCACATGTTTAGAGGCGTCTGCAGCAGGAGGTTTTGTCTTGTTGGAAATGCCTCTAAATGCACTGAACTTATTTGAATAGTAGGTCTTTTTTCCTTAAGACCTTTTTGTTATGTTCTGACATGTAAAACCTTAATGGCAGGAGTACCTTCTTTTTACCACAACCATGCTTGTTAAGGTCTTACTGTCTAACTGTGCATATCCTTCGATATCCTTCCTCCATCCTCTCTGAGTTGTCACAGGAAGGGGGATATCTTTGATTCAATAATCTCTGAGCACCAAAGGATATTCTGCATGCTGACCCAGAAAATTAGTTTTGAAGAAAACATGTTATATAAAAGACAAGAAGATAACATGGGAGTAGCAATTTTAAAACTTCCACACCAGTATGCTATTCTATTTAAATTTAACTTTATTTTGCACAAATTAATCATCAGTAATTTAATGTGTTTCATAATATTATTATTATTATTGCAGGATTTATCAAATCCGACCTCCGACGGCAGAAGGCCAACCAACAGGTTGAGGTGCAGACAGTGAGTGTAAGTACGACTGTGTGTGTTACATGAAGTTAGAGGTGGGATGTGTGTTAGAGCCCACCCTGGCTCTGGATTGAATGCGCTCTGAGTGGTTTTCTGCTGGTGGCTTCTCTGCAGTCACTTACATGCAGGCTTGGATGCAAAGCGAATGCAGGCGGTCGTCCCGCTGCCCTGGTTGCAGCTTTCTCCGCAAGCTGCTAAAAATGTCGTTTTCTCTCAGCTATGCTTCGTCTAACAGCTCTCTGGCTCGCTCTCATTAAAAACACGTTTGCTTATTCTTTGCTTTGAAAAGCGTTGCTTTGGTTTAATGCTTACAACCGGTGCGGTTGAGAGCTGCCAAATAAATATTTTCAGCTAAAAAAAACTTATATTAAAACCAAGTATTAAAACTAAATATGTGGTGACTTTTGTAACTTCGGAGATGTTCATGCTCAGCTGTCGCCTTGCTTTATGTCAGGCTCGGGACCTCTTGCTTTCTTTCTTTGGCCTTTTTGTCCTTCTGATATTCCAGTTTTAACACTACAAACGCAGCTTAAACACCAGTAATCCTGCACACCAGTGGAAGTCAAAGTGATAGTAGAGCAGTAGATTTAAAAAAGAAAAGAAAAAAGAACAAGAGATGTATCTAAATAATAAATAAAGCAGAACTAACGATACATGCAGTTTCCTGATCAAAGGCTGTGGTATAGCTGGGTGTGCAGGTGTCTCTGGATGCACTGGTGGTGTGTTATGAATGAGAAGGTGGAAGATGAGGGGGACCCCTTAGGGCCCCTCAAGGTGTGACCCCAAAGCTATCATTCCAGCCTGCAGGCTCCCTGTCATCGGTGCAGGACTACGGGGCCACGTCGTGCGGCAGCCCCTGGCAACGGCAGTCTTGACATTAACCCACAAGCTCACAAACACCAAAACACACACCTGCCAAGGTAGGGTGAAAAAAGGGTTTTAACGATTGTGTACACGATCATGTTTGCATTTACTTGAAGGTGTTACCGGTTAAACTGCAGCGCATTGTACTCGACTGCACAATCAGCCCTTTAAATCGCACAAACAGACTCGGTGTCATTGTGGAATTAAACGTTTATCCGGTGATTGCAACTCATCTGAAGTTCATTGTGAAAAGACACGTGATGAGGTGTACTGAATGTGAAGAGATGTGTGTTGCTGATATAATATTGATGTTGAACTCTGCTGCCACTTCACTCATTTTACTGCATCACGTCTGTCCTTTGCAGACAATTACTGCTGATCTGGAAAGAGGAATCTCTCCACCTGAAATCTTGAAAGAGGTGAGGTTGTGAGGAAGACAGATATTTCTCTGTCCAAGATCTCAGAATATCACCGTGTACAGATTAAAAACAAATAAGACACATTAAAAAACAACAACAAAAACTGACATATCGAGACGCACAATCATGCACAAACGACTGAGGAGCTGAAAGCTGTGAACTGTAAGAACATGGAGGCTGAATCACAGAGAACAGTGTTGCTTTACGGAGTTCTGTTTGGACTCTGTGATGCAGAAATCCACATTGGTATTACACCCCAAAGCACCATGGGGGAATGCACTTTCAAGGTTTTTACATCATGGGATGATGGCATTTTACATGTCTTGTTAGGTGCAATGTATCTGCCACTTTAGTGACTCCAACCTTCAATCTAACTGAATGCCTTTCCTAGTTTTCTTCTGACCGGTGTTAATGTAGTGTTTTATGCATTTGACTGGCAATATTGAAAGTTTTCTAATATATGACCAACATTGTGTGTGATTGAACTCTCTCTTTACATTGATGAAGGTGTCTCATGTTAGTGTTCTGTGTTTAGAATATGTGTATTCAATGCAGATTAAGGACTACGACGTGTTTACCTGTCAGGCAGCCAAGTCACCTTTCGCCTAATTGAGGCTTTCGTATCTGTCGTCTGCCGTTCAGGATGACAGTATTACTTGTGAATACTGCTGATGCAATGTATCTGAGTTCGCTTTGAGGGGGGGGCGGTCAATATTGGCCCCATTTTACTGTGATTGACTTCTTTAAAAAGACACAAGAGGCGAGAATGTCCGGAACGCAAAGGATGTCAGCACAGCGGAAAATAAGAACAACACAATGGGAGATTGCGACTAATCAGATCTACTGCCCTTGTCATTTTGCACACTTTTTATGTGTACTTTTTACTTTTGGTACTGTAGAATTATACAAACAGGCGACAAATCGAAGGGAAATCCATCAGAAATATGTCTTGGGTGTTGGGCCAATACATGCCAGAGTCGGAGTAATGCAGCTCAGTTCTTGTGGAAAATATTACCTAATTTTGTGTGAATAATTGTAGTGGCAAGCAAACATAAGATGGCCAAAATCTCCTCTTTATGGTCAATGTGGTTAAATTCTGATGACTTTAAAGGCTTGACACATCTTATTTTTTATAGTCATTAAGTGTCCCAAGTGTCCAACAGATGTGGCCTGATCTGAGCACCACTTTGCACAGTTGTGCACCGATCCTGAGTGGACCTAAACAGTGCCAATCAAATGCCCTCCACCTGTTAGAGCCCAGGGTCAAAGGCTCAAGTGGTTTAGTGTTTTCCTTCGTTTTGTTTCCTGTGTGTATTTTATGCTGTGTAACCAGTAGTTGTACAAATTTTTACTTCAGGTATTTTTAGGAAGTTGTCTCGAAATGTTGATATTTAATTAGGACTTTTATGTGTCTGTGAGAGGTTCTAGTTAATCTTAGTCTTAGGCACTTTAAAGTGCTGTGAATTTTCCACACCCTTAGAGTTTTTGCTATTTTGGCATGATGTGTAGTTGATCCAGTCAATAAGGAAAAAATGAAACTGCAATACAAACTATGGGATTTTGAACACTGTACCAAAAACAGAAACTAAATTAAGAACAAATCTATATATTTATAGATAAATAAGCCCTAGCTAAATGTGTCTGTGTATTTTTGTATTTCACCACAATGTGGCCATGTTTAAATCAGGAGATTTATGCTTTCTTTAACCCAAATATGAGAACAGAACAAAACTGGGATTTCAGTCTTTAGCACAAACCGTGCAAAAACACAATTACACCTTGAAGGACACTTCAAACAAAGGATTACAAGACTACAAAATACTATTGCCACAATTATTACAGCAATAAAAAACATAAAAAAATCAAGATATTTTTAAAAATTAAGTTTTATACAAAGTTATTTGTGCATACATTTCCAGGATGTACAAATCTTTCACAGCACACAACAAGCATCAAACCAACCTCTGCTGTATGATTTTTCTAATGAGGTGCGTGGTTTTCTTCTGCGTAGCCTTCCGAGATCTTTGGTACATCTGGGCTTGCTTTGATTGAAAGACTAGAAAACGGTACTTTCTCTGCTCTGGTGCAATAAAACAATCATGGTGACGAGAAAATGTGTACTGTGGTTCTGTTTCTGCGGTCAGTCAGCAGCACCATAGCAAAACCGAGACTGAGAAAGAATACACTATCTGTGCTGTTAAGACAACATAAAACTCCAGATATTGCTCCTTTAAATATGAAATTATTACAAATTCTAAAGCAGCACACATTGACCACTGTATTGTAAGATATACACCAATCGATCACAACATTAAAACCACCTGCCTAATCTGCTGTGTTCCTCTTGTGCTGCTAAAACAGCTCTGATTCCTCATGAAGGCAGGGTCTTTGAGGATGTGCTGATTGGGAGCATGACAGCAGCAGTTGTCCCCAAAGATCAGCCTTGCTGGGGAACATCCTACAAAGGCTCATTTGGATTAGGGACTACTAGTGTCTTCCTGTGTTTGAGCACATCATCAACTGCAGTCGTGGACCAGGAATCCCAGGTCCCGACGTTTCCCAGCAGAATATTGCAGTTTCACAAGATAATGTTATTTATTTGACCTGTGAGGGGTTTTAATGTCATGGCTGATCTGTGTAAATGTAAATAATGTCACAGTAGAAAGTGAATTTACATCAGTATATCCTGTTCTTCAAGGCAAGAAGCAGCACACGAGGACCAGTTCACAGAAGGCTGGTGGAGGTGGATTCAGTTCAACAACAGGAAACTCCAGATTGCTGGGACTCAGTTATGCTTTTTCTGTCGCGCTCCAACTTCCTCCTGTGTTTCTGGAAAACACTGGAATCCAATGAGCATTCCTATGATGGAAAAACCTGCAAAAACACAGTGATGTACTTTTAACTGTGTATTCCAGTGTGTTGTGATTTAACTTAAGACGTCCTGATGGGGAGTCCAACAGAGGTTATTATCACTATTATTCATTACTCACTAGCCACAATGAGAGGGGCCATGACTCCGATAGTCAGCGGTGCAGTTTTATAGATAAAAGCCTCAGATAGGAAGTGGCCCAATGCCAGGACAAACGTCCATAAGGTGATGTGATACAGCCTGCAAGAGCCAGGGTTACACAGTGAATAACCCATAGACTTCCACCAGAAATGAGTTTTTATGGTGCAGGAAACAACACGATGCCTTACGTTCTATTCTGGATATCAATGGCGCAGGCACAGCGAATGATCGATGACAGCAGCGTCCAAATACCAAAGGTTCGAGCTTGGAGACCATTTACTGAGAAATTAAATAAATACAGATACAATATATTATGATAGAGAGCATCCATTATTAGTTGAGAACAATGCAGGAGGGTTTCTTGGAGCATTTCTTTTTTTTTAACCTTTTGAGCAGGTTTAGCTGAGGACATTGATTTATTATCTAATTCTAAGATCCTATACACTAACCAGACACTTTATTAGTTACACCATGCTTGTACCAGGTTGGACCTTGTTATGTTTTCAGAACTGCCTTAATTCTTTCACAGCATCCCAAACGTGTTTTATTGGATTGACTTCTGGTGACTACAGAGGCCATTTGAGCTCAGTGAACTCACTGACATGTTTGAGACCAGTTTGAGATGATCTGAACATATCCAGTAGATGGGTACACTTATGTAATCATGGCCACAACAATACTCAGTCAGGTCGTGGAATTTAGCACTCAGTTAGTGCTAAGGGGCTCAGAGTGTCCCCCCCAAAATACCCCACATCATTACACCATCGCCACAAGCCTGAAAATTTGGATTTTGGATGGATTTATACTTTGATGTTGTTTTACAACAAATTCTGATGTCAAAGTAGAAAATGAGACCACCAAACATTTTTCTGGTCTTCAGTTGTCCATTTTAGCTGATCCCTTGTTACCTCAGTTTCCTGTTCTTAGCTGACAGTGGTCGCATCTGCTGCAGTCTTTTGCTGCTTCAAGGGTCCACATATTGTACTGAGTTGTTGCCACATGTTTAGGTGGTGAGATAGCAGTTGAACAGGTATACCTAATAAAGCGTCCAGTGAACGTAGAGCGGTGTCTGGTTTGTTATGCCACCTGTAAGTGCATTTTTCTGGAAGTGTGCCGCAGTACAGAAGTTTTCTGCAATACTACTTACTATGGTGAAGATTATAAAAAAACAACATTTTAATGCCCTAAATTACTATGGTTTATTCAAGTTTTTAATACAAAGTAAGAAAAGAAATTCAATATTGTGATTGCACAGGATTAGAATTATTGTTGCAGTCCAGATCAGTGGGAATAACAGCAGCTTATAAAAGGCAACACAATACTACAAAGGCTACAAGGGCTAATAATTATTATAAATGAATGCTTTCAAACTAAGTATATATTTTCCAATCTAAAGTGAAGTCTTGCTAATAACTACTAATATTGGTTTGGCTCCTATTAGGGAGAAATGGCCTTGTATATTCTGATTATGATTAATAAAACATTTATACGTGCTCTATATAGACTCTGCACGCCAGTGATATGCAGGCTAATAGGTAATTAGTTGATGATCATCACGTGCATTTTAACATAAAGTGTTGCTTGGTATTCGAAGCGTGTGGTGTTTGCCTAATTTATACTAATACTAGAGTCACAAACTAATAATCACGTTACTTTTAAGGTTGTCAGGTTGCACATTCCACTTCTGTCAGAAAACAAAATCCAGTTTTCTCACCAAACTCTGGCATGCCTGTGTAGAGCTTTTCGGACAGAAAACTGTGATCTCTGAAACTCTGCACGGTGTTTCCCATCGCGATGACGGACACCATCACCAGCCAGCTCCGCAGGACGTTCAGAAAGCGACTCATCTCTTCTGTGTGGAAGAAGCACCTGTCAGAGAGGAAAACTGCCGGTTCACTGCAGGACACACCACTCCGAACTACAGGTCAGTACAAACCCCGGTTATATAACATTAGCATTGGACGGAAGAATAGATGTATTTCTATTTCATGTCTAACATAAGACATTAGCTGGCAATACATCAGTAACTCATATGACATAACAAGCTAACCCTGGATTAAGCAGGTTTATACAATTAGCTAGCCTATTATACTTTAAAACATCACGAGTACGTCATGTATTTACCTGACTGCGCCTGTCAAACTATCATATTCCCGACAAAACAGGAGTATACTGGCGCTAGAAAAAGTGGGACTGAAGCCAACCGAGTGGCGAGTCTTTCAATCTTGGCTCGTGGGGTTAACCAATAAGAGCGCTTAAAAATGGCTCCTGTTAATCGTACCATGATTGTGATTGGCGATTTCAGGCGTTAGGGTTCCGCCTATTTTTTCCCTCTAACCAATCTACATATAGCAATCCTGTCGCGTGTGGACAGTGCTAGACTGCGTCCAAACAAAGAGTAGCTGTAGAGCAAGAGAATTATGCAGGTGACGTGCCTCTACGAGCAAGGCAGCCACCTTTGTAACGTTTCCGAGCACTTATTCCGAATCTAAATCCCAATTAATTATATTATTAGGTAATTGTGAACATGAAAAACTGCATCTATAGAAAGACCTATGAAATAATGCAAAAGACGTTCGAATTTTGACTCAACTAATCTACGACTAAACACGGTCTAAAATACGATTTTAACAAGTATTTATCCACTGGAAGTATATATACATTCTCTCACAATCTTAATTCAATACTCTTTGAAAGCCATGCATTTCTTTTATATAAAAATAGATGTAGATTTGAGGGGTCCCAGTATTTTGGAAAATGCTTTTAAAAAGTTATAAAATATTATAAATGTTATTAAACATTAAGGCACACCAGCTCACTGTGCAGCAACTGAAGCAACACAACAATATCAAAATATAAAGAAAATATGAAGGAAATCGCTCTTTGTAATATTTCTATTGAAATGTTTTTGCCTATTTATTTTAAATGTACGGGCAGTTCAAAGTTTCGTCACGTGGATCAATATTGTCGCGCGCATGCGCCTTTCTCTGTTGCTATCCACTTGTTGTAGTTACAGGAAGATTAACGGCGATTGCTGGACCTGGCGATACCAACTAGCTTACTGTTAGCAGCCTCCACAGAAATTCACGGCAAGTTTTTGTGGTCCGGGTATAGTGGTTAACTCATTTGCCTTGCATGTGAAAGGTTCCCGGTTCGTTTCCGGGAGGAAACACAAACCCACCCTCAGAGTGTTATAAGCTAATGTACTCTCAAGTGCTGGTCCCAGCTCAAAGGAAGGGCATCCGCGCGTAATAGTCAAAATACGCGGATCTATTTGCTGTGGCGATCCCTTGGGAAATAAGCGAGCAGGCGAAAGTACCTTCTTTCTGTTGCTGTATGTATTTGTACTTCATTATAAAAACCTCAGTGGTGTCAAATTAAGCAGACTTTGCGTAGTTGACAAGGCGTGCAGGCATAAAAGTAACGCATTATTTAGCAGTTTGGTTTTGTCTTAACCATAGACTGTCTATAACGTGTTAAGATGATTTCACTGCCACAGCAGGCAGACTTAGAAAGCAGCAGCGGTTCTCAGGTGAGAGCATGCTAACTGTAAATCACTGTAGGACGGTGTTAGTGTTGCAGTCTTCGTGTTAAGCTGTCGTGGAGCAGAGTGTTATGAATACATCGGCGTTTTTATGAGATCATCTTAGAAGTGACTGTTGTGTTTGCCCTTGGATGTTGCAGATGCCAGGGTAAACACTAGATACTTGGTCCCACGAAGATTTCTCCGGGCAGATTGTCCCCCCCTTTGCAGTGAAAATGCCAGCCGTGATCCGGGATAAAGAGGACTCTGAATCCTCCTCAGAAGACGAGCAAGAGTAAGTACAAGTTAGCAGTTCATATTAATATGTCTGCTGCAGAATAAAGGACAGCCTGTGATCTAAACAGAGTCAAGGTCAGAGGTTATAGAAGCACCTGGGATTATCTGCTTTATATCACAAATAAAACAAGCTGCCTCAAATCTGTCTTTTCTCATTTAAAGAAAAAAGCAACAACTCTCTCAATCAATGCCATTGGTGCCTTTGTTTTGAGTATTTTGTCCTTCAAGAGGAGCTACTGTTGCTTGTTTGCAGACACACTGGAGAAGAGTAGGATATTGCTCACAGTCCCTGCAATCCCTCTGGGACTTGGCAAGTCAGTTAACTTCTTAGCCTACTGATCCTCTTGGCATACTGCATAAGATTTCCAAATAATACATCTTGTAATAGGACATTATGGTGAACTAAAAGCATTGTTCATTTTCTCTCTCATTGCAAGTTACCAAATCAATTTAAGGTGAAATGTAATCGGTGAGGGATTACAGAAGATGTCCTGAGCTCTGTTTAATCATTTATGTCAAGATACATGCAAACAAAATGACACCTTCAGGTGTCTTTCATTCTGTATAATTGATGACTGTCATTTAGACAAATGAGTATATATCCCTCTGCTGTGGATGCACCAGCTGGTCTTTGCTTTCTTGTCTCGGTCTAATAATTCCCTCTTAAGCCGTGCTTAGTCATACCTTTCTGGGTTCCTCTGTATCTGCTTTTAGGCTCCATCTCCTAAATTAGTTTGGATTGCTTAGAGTTAGCATTTAACCTTCAGGCTACCAACGCTGCATTTATTGACATGGCAGTAATTATGCACTGAGATGCTACAACATGGTTGCTCAAAAATATCTACCCCATAAACACATCTCAGTTCCATTGCAAGAGTAATATTGCAGTAGTTTTATTTTTTAAACAACTGCTGTCTGCAATTTTTTACTTGCACACAAAAAGTCTTGACACCATGAAAGAAGTGTTGACCTTCCTCAAAAACACAAAAGGAAAGTCACCATGACTGTGATAAAAGGACAGTACTGTTTGGTGCGAAAATGAGAAATAGGTGCCGCGGTTTACTGAAACAGCGAACACACAAGGTAATATAGTATATAAAGCAAAAACAAAGTTTTTACAATTCTAAAGAGCTTGAAAGTCATATTTTGTTTGACCGCCTTTATTCTTCAGCACAGCCTGAACTCTCTTGGGCAAGTTCCGGGCATCTTGAAGGACTTTCAAAGCTCTTCTTTGGATGCCTTCTGTTCTGTTCTCTGTCAAGATGATCCCACACTGCTTCAATAATGTTGAGGTCCAGGCTCTGGTGAGACTGATAGTGTTCCACTGTGGGTTTTTTAATCCAGGTATACTTGTACTGCCTTGGCATTGTATGCGGAATCATTGTCATGCTTAAAAATGAAACAGTTTGCAATGAGATGCTTTTCAGATAGTGTTGCATTGTAGATGAAAATGTGAAACCACTTTTCTTTGTTTATAATTATATAAATAATCCACAACATCACTGGCTGAAATGTAGCCCCAAACCCTGACAGAGCCTTCAGTGTGTTTTACAGATGGCTAAAGACAAATTCTGGATTCACCACTCCGTAAGGCCTGTTGCTGTGCAGTTCTTTTGAATTTTGGCATTTTTCTGTCCTTTCTCCCTGTTTGTCTTCCTTAAGACTGGCTTTTTGACAGCCACCCTTCCACTTAAACCATTGCTAATGAGGGCTTGGTTTAGAGTAGCAGATCAACTGAAGAGCCAGATGCATCTCTCAGGTCGTGTGTCAGATTTGTACTTGTCCTATTCCTTAATGAACATTTCATCTGCTGTAGATAGTTTTTTTAGGCCTGCCACATCTTTTTCTTCTTTAACTTGTCCAGTTTCCTTTTTAAGGACACACCGCACATCTCGCTACACAAACAGTTCAGCTAATCACTACACAATTGATTATACACCTCTAAGCATATATGGTTAAATATTTCTAAGCATAAATGACAATCAACAATACAAAACCTAACACCCTGCACATGCTGATAGATGTCTGTCCAATAAGCCGTTCTATTTAAAATAAGATAAGATATACTTCATTTAGCCCATGTGCCAAAACATTAAAGACAACCTATAACAAGTTTAGATAAAGTACAATAATGCAGTAGACGTGGGACTGGAACCAAAATGTAATAGAAAGAAATGTCAGTTCCTCTTTGAATTTTACTGTTACAAATATCAACAATGCTTTAAAAGTACTAATATTGCACGATCATATTCAGAGATGATGGTGGTGATGTTAACACATTCTTCTGTATAAGATCTTAACATCTTGTGTGTATGCAGGTGTCTGGGTAGTCTCGGTGATGGCTTACGCTCATGATAAACAACAAGCTTAAATACTATCAAAAGACTCCTCTTAACAGTGAGCAACCCAGCCGTGTCAGTGCGATAATCTGCGATATTGTCTCACATACCTGGATACTTGAGCTAAGGGCAGCAGTTGCTTGCATGCCCCACCTCTCCCACTTATCAAGGCTGGTCATACCTGATTGACTTCTACTCCATCATCATGTCACCTTATCTTATTTTGACCCCCTGATAAGCAGGCTGTGTCTGGTACTGTTAGACATTCTCGACTTTTACAAGGGTATTTGGAGTACTGTACATGGGTTTGTTATTGCCCGGCACCTCACAAAGCTCTGTGTGGTTCTGCCTCTATCTGCTTGACTGAAATAAACACCACGTCACGCGGCATTCCCGCAGCCTTAGGTAAGATGCCCATATAGGTCAGTTCATGTCATCCTGGAAGATTCTGGGCACTGAAATTCACCCCAAAGTGCATCTCTGAAACTTTGCTCCTGTTATTTTTATTAAGTGTCTGTATAATTTGTCACCCACTAGAGACCATCCCTGCATCTCATGGGGCAGCCTTAGCAAGACCATCCCGATTCTCCTGTTTTTCCCTGAAGCTGTTGTTTCAAAAGATGGAAGCATATCTTCTGTTGGAGGTACAGTGCAGAGTAATAAAAATGACATTTTGGAGCCTATAAAAGTTCAATGCTAAGAATATCTTGTTGTGCTTTTTGCACAGAACGATATAATATGGCCTTCAAGATTGTGCGCACAGAGAGCCGCCTGGTACGAGAAATACTCACCAATCACGGATTCCATGAGGTAATGTTCTCACTTAAATCGTACAACTTTAACAGATAATCTTGTAAAAACACATTGTTTTTCTTTTTTTCTTTCTTTTTTTTTTTTGCGGCACATGCAATTGAAGGATACGCTTTACTGTAGGTCTGTTAATCTTCATTTGACTGCTGGTGACAAAGCCCGGGAATGCACCCATGGAAAAAAACAAAATGACCTCAAAAAGCATTAATCTGGTTTCACGAGGGCACACAATCCCCGTTATTGCTCTCTCCAAGCAGCTACAATTAATTCCCTTTTTATTTCATTTCAATGCTTCTCGACTGCTGCTAACCCATCATCAAATGGCAGACGAGTGTCTACCGCAGCCCGGACAGAGCCAAACTTTAATAAGCCTTTATTGCGAACATCTGGCTCTCCACGGGACGCGGACAGAATGGCCATGTGAATCCCGCCTCCTAACAAATTGTTGGAAAAATACACAAATAAAGAGATAAAATAACATGACAGTGATGGAAATCTGTGAACTGGCCTTCCCTTTTGAGATCGTGTCAAAAGCGTAAGTCGTACAGTAGTTCGTGGGGTTAGTGATGGGGTAATGGTGGTGATGCTGGAGTCTGTTTCTTAGATTCAGCCGAGCAATCAAACGTGATGGACGTCAGAATACGATGCTTCTGTTGGTGGCTGGAAACTTTTGAGAGCTTACCCTTTTAATGATCCCTTTGCTGGTGTATTTTACTTTTTGTGCGCTAAATCAAAATCATTTCATCTGGCTTGTCTGCTCAGTTCAGTCTTGCTATTTTTCAGGTTCACCCAAACAGCAATGACTTCAACCTCATGTGGACAGGGTCTCACCTCAAGCCTTACGTACTACGCAGCCTTCAAGACTTCCAGAAGGTCAACCACTTTCCCAGGTATAATAGAGGTTTCAAATATAGAGTGTGTTTCCACTGTTTCCTCTGTTATAAATATTGCCGTATGAGGCAATGTGTTTGTTGGCTTTCGCTTGCAACGTGCGATTTATTTGGGACCGATGTCTTTATGAAGCATGAAGTGAATCATACCGTCAGGCCCAGGGTGTTCTGTAGCCGTTATGTGTTCCTATATTTGTTCTTCCACACGTCCAGATCGCACGAACTGACACGCAAAGACCGTCTCTATAAAAACATCCAGCGAATGCAACAGACTCATGGCTTCAAAAACTTCCACATTGTTCCTCAGACCTTTGTGCTTCCCGCCGAGTACCAGGAATTCTGCAGTAAGATACCACCCACACATAATCCTGTTCGTCTTAGCAGGGCTATATTTATGACATGTTTACAGTCATTTTGAATGACTGCAGTTCTCTGCGTTTCCTGCTTTCCTCTTCTTCTTTTCTTTCTTTTCCTCAGATTGCTTTGCCAAGGACAAGGGCCCGTGGATAATTAAACCAGTAGCATCTTCAAGAGGACGAGGTATCTACTTGGTTAGCAATGTGAGTTTATTTTATTCTTAGACTTCTGTGCCTTTTGATCCTTAAAATGTGAACACTTCACACTTTTCTCTCCTTTCATTTTCCCCTCTCCCCAACCGGTCACACCAGATGGCCACCCTCCCCTGAGTCTGCTGTCATGGCTGCCAAATGCTTGTTCATAGCAGATAATTGGCTCCCTGGCCTTCTGTCTGTAGTGTTTTAGCCTTTTCCTTAACATATAATGTGTACTGTGGCTATTACACTGTTTTAAATGGCTCTGAGTCTAATTACATTTTTTAATTCTAAACTTCAGTTGTCAAAACCTTCAGAGGACTTCAGTGATATAATAAATATAATTTGACAGAAAAATACTTCTACAAATTCCACCTCGTTGTTTGTTCCTGGTGCTTTGTGGCTACAAACCTGAGTGGTCATCGAGGAAAAAAGAAAGCAAATTAGTGGACTTTGTGTTGCAAGTATGCTGCCAACCTAGTGTTTTTGAAAGGTTAAGAGTAAACCTTAACCTTTAAGTAAAGTAATTTTGAGTCACGGTTATAGGTATTTTTCTTTCTTCCTTAATTCCCCGTGTAGTTTAGTCTTGGTATACTTGGTACTGCTGATCCCCAAGTTTGGAGGATGTCAACTATTACTTCTTTCCCACCTGTGTTTGAGCTTGGTGTGACTGCACTGGCGTGTGTTTGCAAAGATGGGGAAAGCTATTCCACATTGCTTTTATGTCGGACTAGTGTCGGATGTTGGAACTCAGAAGCGATGTCACTCCAGAGTTAGTGCATTCCAGTGCTAAAGTTGGAAAAGCGAGAACAAAAACAGGATTTGTTTTGATTCTTAGCGAGATAAAGCCATCCAGGTATCACAAGCAATACAACATGATACTTGTTTTTTATGTGGGGTGGCTGTAGCTCAGGAGGTAGAGTAGGTCATCTGCTGATTGTCTGCTGATCAGAAGGTTGGTTGTTCGATCCCTGGCTTCCCCGGTTTGTATCTATTAGAGTATGAATGTTAGTTAGAAAGCACTGAAAAGCATAGAAAAGAGTCTGTGTGTGAATGGGTGAAAAAAGTGCTTTGAGTGCGTCCAGGAGAACAGAAAAGCACTATATAAGAATCAGTCCATTTACATACTTCAAACCAGCATTGGGGCACATTCTTGGGTAGAGCCTGGTCAGTGCTTTGTGTATAGCTTTTTTTATCAAGTCACAAACATACAACATTGGCTATGGAGATTTTACAGTTCTAGTTGTACTACTGTTTACAGTAGTACACTTTACATTCATTGCCACCATTGCAGACTGTTAACTGGAGGTTGGTGGGGCTTCTCTGACTTTCCGAATAGGAAATATGAGTTGAAGGGGGCATTCGAGATTAAATTTCGGACCAGGCACTCAGAAATCCTGATTTCTGACCTAATCTGGAATCCACAGTTCTTCTCCCCAAAATAGCCTTTTCAAAAAAATAAAAATAGTGTTGGCATATTTGTAAAGTATGAAAGATAAAACAACACTGAACACGATTAACTGAATCTTTCTTTGTTAATGGGGACTCCAGCACTGGGACTAGTGTTTAATAGTAACTACAAAGCTAAAGCCAGCAGAGTTTAAGAATAGGTTAACACGGATTGAGAAACGGGGAGAAGAAAACAGCTAATCTTAATGCCAAGCAAAGCTCAAAACAATAATACTGACTGTCAGTCAGCTCTTCTGTTGTGTGCGTGTGTGTGAGAATAAACCATGTGCAAGCATGAATTCGCATTAAGGGTAAAACCTTAGTGGGAGTTAACTATAAGCACACTGACATAAAAAAGTACCACGTGAACTCAAACAGTCACTTGGCCAGATGTTATCTAAGTGTGGGGGTTGCACTGATACAGCTGTCTTCGAAGTAAGTATCAACCAGCGTTTCAGACATTAATAAGCTTCGCGGAGTAAATCACACACTTTCAAGGCCCCGGGCTCTTGGAGGAGCTCAACAAGGTTCTCACCCTTGGAAAACATGTGCACGATTCTTCTTCTTCTCAGGCATTTTTATGAAACAGTGGAAAGAATGTCAGAGCGATATTTGGAGAAAAGAAAGAAATACGTTCATCTTTTTTGCTTTGCTTTTTCTCTGAACTGTAGCCAGCGCTGAGGTTACTCCAACTCCTACCCCCCCCGCCCTTTACCCCATCTCTTCTCAACTTCACCACCTGCAACACATTTCAACCTCATAAATGACCCATCTCCCACCACCAGATTGTGTTTTTATAGGCTGTTATTGAAGCTTGACCCGCTATGACCAGCGTCACTGAAACTTTTCTTCATCTTATTATCCTTTGATGTTTATGGTTCACTGCAGCGTCTCGTCAGCCCAGTGAACTTGAGTATTTAATGCAGTTCTATATGAATCATTCGTGGTGTTGTAGCTTTAAACTTGTGATAAAATACTGCCCGCATTTTCTTCTGTGTTCATCATATCTTCTTTTGTGCGTCCTGCTTCTCATCTACAGCCAAATCAGATTTCCATGACTGAAAACATTTTGGTGTCTCGCTATATTAATAACCCGCTACTCATTGATGGTGAGTTGTTACAGTTATATTTTTGCTATTTTCTTTTGACAGATTTGCACTGAACAATTTTATGACTTAATCTAATTGTTGTTTTTACAGGGTTCAAGTTTGACGTTCGTTTGTACGTGTTGGTAACGTCTTACGATCCTCTCCTCATCTATGTGTATGAGGAAGGCCTGGCTAGGTGAGTGTTTTTACCTTTGAAATGGTGACTAATACAATAGAAGCTATCTCCTGGTGCTTTTACATAAGATTTTATGTTGTCTTTTTGGTATCCATCCATCCATACATCTTGCTGTTTATCTGCTTCTAGCTGATAGAGACGGTAATTTAAACAAATATATATAGACTTCCCTTTCTCCTGTGTTACCAAAGTGTTCCTGATTTAGCTGAGAGACAAATTCTTTTAAGTGTGTCCTGGGTCTGCCCCAGGTTCTCCTACCGGTATACCCCAAGACACCTCACTTAGGAGGCACTCACAATGCTTCTTATGTAGAAGTCACCTTAACTTGATGAGATGATGATCAAAGTCTTCACTTTTATTTTTTTGCAACTGAAACATAACAGTATGTTACGTCTTTATGATTCAACACCTTGTCAAGATCTACAAGTATTTTTAACTTTCGCTACATTTCCACTCTGTGTTGTTTGCTGTTGCTGGCGTCGCCACATCACGATGCATTTGATTGACACACTTCAACTGCAGTTCACACACTTCTCAGAGTCATCCATAGGGTTGTATTTGACTTTCTAGTTGGTCAGTTCTGGCTGGATGGCATAGATAGAACAATAAGTCACTCAACACATTCTTTTACTAAATATAAGTTCTTTCTCTCTCCTAAAACCACCAGTTATCAATTTAAAATTCAGTGACGTGAGATTGTCCTTGCCTCTCACTCTGTCAGCCCTGTGAAGGACTAGCGAGCTGTCCTCTTGGCTTCTGACAGTTTGAATAGGCTCCCCTAATTTAGATAAGTGGTTAACCAACATGAAACTTCCTGTTTATATGTGTCACGTTATATTAGGTTTTCGTGCCACGTTGCGTGTTGTTAAGGAAAACCTTGTTTATTATTATGGCACTCAGTGTGTACTGTGAGATCCAGCGGGACTTTGTGAAACACTACATTCATCTTCCTTTAGCACCCACAAGAGGGCATCCTAAACTTTGCAGACTGCCTGTGTGGAGCGTGTGGCTTTGGCCACTTTGAAACAAAGCGCTCTATTGTTTCACTTGTAGGATGTGCTAATCAAATGTTTGCTGATTGTGACATTGTTCAAAGCTCATATCTATCACGACTTTATGTAATTGCGCTCGAGTTATTAGGCCTGGGTGTTCAGAGCAATAATAATTTCTTTAACAAAGAAAGGCTAATGCCAGACACGGTTGGGTCAGGAGAGGGTTGATGATTTATAGAATGACTGGCTCCTCACCTCGCTCTGATAGAGGTGCGTGCTCATGCTGGAAACACAGTGCCACTTCCCTCTTATTTGCTGGCTTCATTATCAACTGTTTTCAGTAAATCATGGCCGAATCTTGAATCCCACTTTTATCTCCTGACATTCCTTCACATGTGTTGGTATTCAGGTACATGGTGTGTGCCAAAGGAATTCTCATTATTGCACATGTGGCATCCACTCCTCTCAAACACTGCCAGAAACTAATCTCTTTCCCAAGTGCCCTTATTATTTATAGTCAAGTGTCTTACAAATGTGGATGTTACGGCACATGGATATGTAGGGGAATAGTTGGATTACGTAGAAGGATTTTTCCCCCCCCTTTTTCCTCTTGTGTAAATAAACCCTGCTCCTTCACAGATTTGCCACAGTTAAGTATGACAGGACTTCAAAGAACATCAAGAACACATTCATGCACCTCACCAACTACAGCGTGAACAAAAAGAGCAGCGATTATGTCAGGTAAGTCCCTTCAGTGATCAAAATACAACGCGGTGCTGTTACGGGAAGGCTCCCCCTCTGACTCATCCATTTATCACAGCTGGAGTGTTTGAAGCTCATTTCTTTCTTTTCAGTTGCGATGACCCCGAAGTTGAGGATTATGGGAACAAATGGAGTATGAGTGCAGTGCTGAGGTATTTGAAGCAGGAGGGGAAGGACACCACATGTGAGTTAGACATTCACCTTGTTCTTTTCATTTTTAATATCCATGCAATGACGACAGAAGTAACTTTTCAATCTGTTTTCTTTTTTAAAATATCTTATTTTCCTTTGATGTTTCTGTCGCAGCACTGATGAAGCAAGTTGAGGACCTCATCGTCAAAGCTGTACTGAGCGCTGAGCTACAGATAGCCACCGCCTGCAAGACATTTGTTCCTCACAAGACAAACTGCTTTGGTAATCGTTTCCTATTCTTCTTAAAACTGTCTTTTTTCCCCAGCCACAGTTAAAACAATCTAGTCCCCCAAAATATGCTTACACCTGCTACAGCCACTGTGAATTATGGGATCCAGTTGCGTTTCCAAAAGAATTTGCTAAAATTCTGAAAGACTAGTCTGAATGTGAAGGCCATCAGCACAAATGTGGCTCCTCAAGAATTTCTTTTGAATGAAATTTGAACTCCGGGGGGAAAGAAAATCTCTTTTTGCTCACAGTGCAGAAGCACTCACACATACTTAGTCATACATATTACCACACCCCTCACATTTCTCTTCAGCTTCAGATTCATTGTCCAGCAGCTCCTCCATACTATTTGTCCACTGAACCGTGCTGAAGTTGTAGACATTCATTCCGCAGTGTGGAACCTTCCTGCATGTTTGCTGCCCTCTGACTGGCTGCCGGGTCGTGGACGGCCTGTTGACTGAAGCAGGAATTTGCTTCCTCTCCTCTGTTGCCATTCAGCCTGATTTAGACTGACTGTTTTCTTGGCTAGTCTTGCCTTGCAGTGGGCTCGTGTGAACTCCATTTTGGAGCCATTACCCATGTTAGTGTTGGCACTAATTGTCTGCGCTCTTTCTTCGTGTCTGGCAGCCTTTCTGAGATTTTGGGTTTGAAAGCGAGTACGCTGGCCTAGCTTCTCTCAGCACCACTGCCTCTTTTTCACTCTCTCCCCCCCCTTTTCTCTTGCTGTTTCTTCTGCCGCGTTATGTTTATAATTCGCCCTTTCATGCTCACATTCTCCTCACCTCTCAGACGTTAGAAAAATAAAGGACTCCACAGTTGTGACAGGCCTCTTAGACGTAATAGTCCTACGATGGGCGGTTGTTTGGGCTGTACTGGATGCGTATCAGCAAAATATAACCATCAGACATTCGCCTGCATAAAGATGCTATCTGCACCCTGAGCATCACTGCAAGGTTGAGAAAACACACATTAACCCAGGGTGTAAAGGTGACCATGCAGGTATTTACTTACCAAGCCTCAACCTGGCTTTCATACATACCTGAGAGACACTGTATACAACGCGATGACATATTTTTGGAGAGAGGGGGTGAAAAACAAGAATGGATAAACAGGTTTGCTCCTGTTCTCATTCATTATTTTTGTCAGTGCTTGTATTCTGTTTTTGTGTATTGTTTTTTTGTTTTTTAAATGCATTCACAAAAATGCTCCACAGATGCATGCAAACAGCACATTAGCAACTGAATCTGATCTTGCACCAACCTGTAGACGAGTAAGAATGTGTTCCTGTTTTATATTGTTTTGTTCATAGCCTGCTTTGAAACTGAACTAAAGGTGAACAAGTGGTAAGAGGTGTTTACATTAATATTGCAGAAACCCAAGTCTGCTTCATGTATACAGTAGCTGGACTGAACAATAACAATTAGGTACTGCACCTTTTGATTAGGACCCATAATACTCTGAGTCTGTTGTGAGCATGGCCATTATCGTACTTCATCCGTATCAGTTTACTGTTGAATTTAGTGCAGTTTTGTTGTCTTAGATGGCCTCAAGCAAGTTAATTACAGCATTCATGGTCTATTTACAGGATTATATTTCCAAAGATAGACAGTAGACCACCCTCATCCTTTCTCTGTTGATCTGTCTCTCCCAGTGTGGTCATGTTGCTCTCTGTGTGTATGTGCATACATTATGAACACAGGAACATGTAGAAACCAGTATAAACCATGTGTTTTCCAAACATACAAGCTTAAAGCTGTCTAAGCTTCAGGAAGTCCTGTCCGATATCTTTGTGGGCTTCTTTTTCTTGTCCCTGAAATAAAAACCCACCCTAACCACCTGGGAGTCATGTTCACTCAGCCACTGTCAGCTCCTTTGCTTCTCCTCTTTCACTTATCCTTACTATATTTTCCCACTTCACAGCCACCACTATCCTCAGCCTACTTCCTGGCATGCCTGTAATAGTAAACAGGTAAAGCGTCAGAATGCGTGGCAACAAATGCATGTGTGTTAGCTCAATGAACGCGCTGATAAAAGCAGCCATTGTTTAGAGTTTTAATACAGTCTGTTGCTTGTCTGGAAGGGAGCCATGCGAGACCATAAAGCACATTATAATCTTAATTTACTGCAAATTGTTCCCTGCCATTTTAATGTCCATTAATGGCTTTAATACAATGTTTATTGTTTTCCAATTGGATTTCTTCCCTTTGCTTGAATTGCACGGTGTATCTAAATGCACATACTGTAACAAAATCTTTTTATAGCTCCGTAATGTCTCATGTGGGAAGAAATAAAAACAGCAGTTTTTTCGTTTTACATTGTAAGGAGTGGATGTAAGTGTGTGTGTGTGTGTGTGTGTGTGTGAGTGTGTGTCTGTGGAGAGAAAATGCCACCCATGCAGCTCTTTACCACTGCTGTGTGATTAATGGACAGGGTTTTTTGCTGAGAGATGCTGATTATGAGATGTTTTGACTAAGATCTGATTAGCCAAGCCAAAGGCCTATTTTATTACACACAAAACATTCCACTTACTGGTCCTATGTTTCACTGAACGTCCCTCATTAAGTGCTGAGTGTGGTTGGATCTCCCGTCTGCGAACCACTCTGCCTGTCTTACATTTGTCAGATACTCCCACACTTCACTGCGGCACAGTGTTTGTGTTCCTATGATGACAGTGCAGCTGCTGTGTAACTGAGTGTTTTCGAGAATGATTAATGGTTTTGGGTCCCACTATCACAATAACGCTATAGAGTGTTAACAGCGACTTAATTTGTTGTCCTGGGAGTGTTTTCTCGATTGTGGCTCTGAGGCGTGCCTGTTAAGCTCCTTGCGACAGCAGTGAAACAGTTCAGCGCCATTAATTTATTTCTGAATTTAATTGTCCTTGCTGTGAAAAGAACACACATGAAGGAAATACTTATGTTGATGTTGTTATTGTGGACCAACAAGCTGCATGGGCAGGGTGGGGGAGATCATTGTTTTTGGGCGTTTGTCTGTTGTGGTGAATTTTCCAGCAGTGCCCATCCAATAATAAAAAAGAAAGCAAACCAAAAAACCCCCTCAAAAAACTCTTCATCATCCCTTTTCTCTGTCATATTTCTTCTCTCCCTCCCTCTTTAATGGGTGTGATGTGGATGTTCGCTGCCTCTCGTCTGCTTGTCTGTGATGCTTGTTGTGGGCTCTCTGTGGGCACATTTAAAAGTGTTCCCCTGGCAGCGGTCGAGCCGCAGAACAAACGTGCCTAACAGTGAGCACTTCGACAGGCTCACAGGGAAGGAATGGCGTCTGCTACTAATTGGGGGAAAATTTGTGACACATGGAGCCTGCATGTCGGGGTGGACGGTGAGGTGGTGTAACACCTCCTGGTTTTTTTTGTTGTTGTTGTTGTTTTTTCTCCCTGTTGTTGTGGTGCCACTGAAGTGAGAGCGTAAGCTAAGCCATTTTATTCCAGCGCTCTTGTCTATAAGCTTTATGATACACACACTCTCTCCCCATCTTCCTATAAAAGTGGATTGAATGGTATAAAGCTAGCAAGTGGAAAATAAAATGCTTTGCTAAGTGAGCACTGCTTAGCAGTGGGGGTCCCGTCCATCCGCAGAAGTTAAAGAAGGTAAAGATGGCAGTGGGAGCTTATGTTGCAGCTTTTGGCTTGTGGGCGTAATGCAGACTTTGCTCATTTCCATAACAAAAATAGTGTTTGCACTTTCACCAATTTGGACCCTATGACACTACCATAAGTTCAGCTCTCAGTGCATGTGATATACAGTGACCCAGTGATATTGTGCTTCCCTGATGTAAAGAAATGTTCTCAAAGTGTGTCCTGAAAAAATTAAATTTAACAAACTCATTCAAAGGTACAGTAAGTCATTCTGTGTTATTTAATAGAAAGAAGAATGTTGGACTCATTAATATACATAGATTAATGTGCAACTACATCTTCTAGCAAACTGATACATTCTCATGAATGTAAAGAATTAATCCACTAAAAATATATAGGAGCAGGTGCCAGTGTGTGGATTTCAACATGTTGCCCATCATCTCGAATAAAGTGGCTGAGATGGACATCGATGTTCCGTCTAACCAAATTTTATTTATGTGGCGAGAGATCAGTCACTAGCTATTCAGGATATTCTCAACAACTTATAGTATCGCTGTCAGTAGACAGAAGTGAGCTTTACTGACTCATCGAGTTCTATCAGGCCTTTTCAGCCTTCTCCAGTGTTGATCGATGTGGACACAAACCAGCTGAGGTAAACAGAGGACTGACCGCCTATACTCACTACACATGAACAACAGCCAGAGTTGTTTGTCCTACAACAGCCTCTATATCTGGGATTATGAATTAAAATAAGACAGGTAATGCCGCGTTCCAGATACCTCGGAACACTCCCAAGTTAGGATCTTCCAGAAAAAGCTAGGAGAAACAGGATTTGTTTTGGTTCTTGGCAAGGAAGAGTCACTTAGGTATCACTAGAAATACAGCATACTTATTTTTTGCACTTAAAAAACACATTCATGTATCGAGCCTGATCAGTTCTGTGTATGGCTTATTTAGCAGTGGAAGTACAGATTAAAAATTCACAATTTTACAAACATTTAAATTCAGCACCACCTTCTTGGATTACTAAGTTGGGGTATGCCGATTTGTTCTGATTTTTCAAGTTTCAGTCCGAGCTGAGGGGGCGTTTCACAAAAGATCTCTGAATGGGAACTTCCGACTTATTCAGCAACGCACCATAATAAAAGAGAATTCAGTTTTCAGTTGACTGCAATCTGAAATCTATTAACACCTAGTGGAGAGATTTTAAACACTGTTCCTTTAATGTTGAAAATAATTTTATTTACAGCAAACAAGAACCCTATGCCACAATTTCAGTTCAACATATTTTCTCTGTTTGTCCAGAGCAGATTTGTTTCTTACAAAAACTGCATGGCTGTTGCATTTCTTTTCAACAGAAACAGTGCATTCATTCAAACACGAATGAGCAGACAGCTTTACATTGCATGCGGATAGCCTATAAATTACATACACCGAACAGACATGTTTGTATGAGTCATGTTTTCGCCATATAACGAAATCCATATAACTTTTTATAAGCATATGCTCCTATAACCCATTTATCACTCACAGAAAGGAAATGTAACATCTGTCCTCAGATACAAAATGCATTTCATTCTAAAATGAATTGAAAGTAATAAATGGAGACCCGCATTTTTTACCAAAATGAACAAAACTTCTTGACCATTTCTGATGAATATCAAGCAGTTTTACTTGACATCTGCCTCCAGGTTTTTATTTTTTGTACCAACATCTGCAAGTTATTTAGACATGCTCCAGTGTACATACTATACACATCTCATACAACTCATGGTTTGTTTAATGGTTAACTTCATGAGTTTTTAACTATATACAACATCACATAATTACATTTACTCATCCTTTTAAACTTGATCTGCTCTGTTTTATCAATGTGATACTGAGTGTAAAGCCGGGGCCACTGGTGGCTGTCATGCTGGCTTTTGTGTGCTTAACACTGGCATTGACCTGAGATGTTAGAACAAACAGTGCTGCTTACAGCAGCTTTGAAACCTCCAGCCACCCAGGCCTATTCTCAACATAGCCTGTTCTTTTGAAGTGCCATTAGAGGGATTTTTTCTCTGCCTCTTTGGCTGGGCTTCACGCTATCCCTGTAAAATACTGCGGTTTCCCTGCACGCTGCTGCTGGGGCCGATGGCTCGTTGGCTTATTGGGTGACACTCCCCAGAACAGTGTGAGGGCTTTCATATGACACATAGGGCAACTCTGCCACTGTGAGCCATATATCAGTCAGTGAAACAGGAGAGAAAATTGGAGTAGAGTGGATTAATTTTTACATGGGGAACTGCCTGACCACTTTTTTATTGTGTCACTCAGTGCTCAGCTATAACTGGGGTGAAATATATACTATAATAATATATTGTCTAAGGCTTTCTAATTCCCTAGATTTTGCCACTGTAAGTCATGGTCCCAGTTTAGTATCTGAATTTATTTTCCAAGTTAAAAAGATACTAACTTATGATGGTGCTGGAACTCTTTCTGGTGACCATTAGGGCAGTGTCCTTCTAGGTAATATCTAATGAAACTATGTACATTTGACTTTAACCTTCTCAACCACAATTATTTGCTGGACAGTTTGTTTTTGAGCCACCATCTTATGTAAGAATCTTCATGAGAGATGTGTATATATATGCTTGGTTAACGCATTTGAGCCAGTCCCTCAGTAGCAGGCACTGGTAAATGTTTCTTTCTTGAATGATTGGGTATATAACATGCGTGTAATCAATAGCAGAAAGTCATGGGCCATGTTGCCAGATGCCACATAATGAGGTTGTGACAGAACTCTGGAAGTGCTTCTGACTTTGATATCCTTCATCCTTTAACTGAGCAGATCTGGGAGATTTTTTCTTTTTCTTTTTTTTAGTAATCCTGTTTCTGCTGACTTCTTTGTCTGCAGTAAAACCTTTTGATTCATTTTGTGTTTCCCTCTATAGAACTGTATGGTTTTGATGTGCTCATTGACTCCAACCTCAAACCCTGGTTGTTAGAGGTGAACCTTTCTCCCTCCCTAGCCTGGTGAGTGACTCAATTACTGTATTAAATTGTTGTCATTTGTTATTTCAGGAGGATCTCTTTTCCAAAACACGCAGTACTTTGCAAAAGTATTGAGACACCTCTCATTTCTTTATTATAGTTTGCTTCAAAGGAGCCAGCCTTTCTTTTATTATTTTAAAGTGCTCTTGAGCAGTAGTTCTCCATGTAAAATGTAAAGCTGTAGGTGTTTTTTTGTAAAATGTTCCTAATTTCAGTGCCATGTTGAAGGCACTCAACTGATGAGCATTTTAGTCTGACATTATATGTCAATAATGTTTTTGTTTGTGAAATCTGCTTATTTACAGTGATGCTCCCTTGGATTTAAAGATAAAGGCCAGCATGATTGCAGACATGTTTTCACTTGTGGGTGAGTGCATCCGGCAGGAATGAATGCAGCTTATATTTAATTCCACAGTTTTGCACAAGTGGGTGGACTTTATAGACAATCACTTCATTTAACATGTGCACTTTGAGCTTGATGTAGACTTGCATAGGAAATGCTGGTGAATTAAAGTAGCCTCAGGCCCTGATACCTCACACATTGGTGTTTGACTATTAGGAAGCAAGTGCTTAGGCATAGATAAAAGCCCTTGTAAGAATGTGTACATGTATTGGTGAATGGGGCTTGTAGTGAGAAAACACTTTGAGTGCTTAAATAGAAAAGCGCTATATAAGTACCAGTCCATTTACATGTCTGTATCTCCATATTATCAGCCACTAAATAAAAATCAAAGGACAAATCTTGGGAGAATATTGACATTAAAAGTTATGGGGAAAAAGTAAACATTAACAGATGTCAGGTTTAAAGCAAACAGTTGCATTGGTACATGTCAACAATGCTAAAAGGGCAATTAAGGGAGCCTTTTTGGAACTTTGTAGGCATGGATCTGACGAAAGTCAAAAAGAATAGTTGTTATAATTCACAACTTGTGACAACAAAACAAGATTATTTTTATATTGCCATTTCATATTATCCTAATAAGGACTTATAAATAACTACACATAAAATATTAGCGAAGTCTGTTTATGTTTTATGTCTCTAAACGAAAAAAACATCTTTCAATGTATTGAATTTTTAAATCACCAAATATCGTATCAGTATGAATCTTAAAAATACTATAACGCTGACGTTCCACACCTACAGTAAGCCATCAATATACAAATCGCAATGCAGAATGAAGCTAGATTAACTGTTGAGTAACAAGGAGTCAGAGCCTATAAACAAATTGAACTGAAGATTTAGATGTTCTTTAAGGTTCAATTTTGCATTACTCATGCTTAAGCTCTGGATGGAAAAATACTTAGGCACAATTAAGAGATTATTCAGTGAGCATTTATTGCACAAGTATATATTTGGGGAAAAGACATTATTTTGGCGAGGCTAACATGAAATGAAAAGTGCTGCAAGTATGCTTTCTTTCTGTGCTAGTGTCACTAAAAGCCATAACTGCTAGTTGCTTCTTTTAACCAGCAGGTTTTAAGTGGAGACAGTCGACTATTGTTTAATGCTTAATGTTTTCCTGCATTCCACGAGTTGAGTTTTGCAAAGTGCCAAAAATAGCTGTATGGCTTCCTAATGGGCGCTCCACTGTTGAAAGAACAAATCGTAGCTTTCATTAATTGACATTAAATGACTTGCAGACAAAAAACGTTAACGTAAGCCTACTTTTTTGTGGTCATTAAGCCTGGCCCAAGGCAGAGATCAACATTGTTTTTTAATGTTTGCTGCAGGGAAAGAGAGATACTGTGTCTTTGTTATGTTTCCTCCCTTCTTAATTATAAATTCTCATGTAGATGAAGACTTCAGATATGAAACTATAGGAGCCCACATAGTTTTAGACTTTATCCTTTTTTTGTAGATACAAAATAAATCCGTATATGTGGGGAAAAAAGATCTTGATTATTTAACTTTACTTAATACTCTTCTTTATCCTTGTTACCAGTTATATTTTACACAGAGCATACTGATTAGCAGCCGTCCATCTAAAATGGCACCGAACCATTAAGTCTATCTGTGGTCACAGCCTAATGATATTAAAGGAGTGGCGATTACGCCCATGTGAGTGAATGTGTGCACACATGTGCATGTGCGTCTTAACCCTAGGCCATACTGTGGCTTGAAACCCTCTCCACTGGCTCATTAAATGAAAGGGTAGAATCATAAATTGCCAGTTATCTTTGGACGGAGACGTTACTGCGCGTCTGGGGAAAATAAGCGGTGGCATGTAAAACATAGCACATCTATGTACCAAACAAACTAAGTCGCTGTTGGCTGATAACACTTGGGCTGCCTCCCAGACCTGTAAATAATGACAGCATTCCATTTGCATTAATTTTCTGCTTGCGTGTAGCTGTCAGTTCTCTGTCACCAGTGTTTGTAATAATTGCCGTGTTTAGGCAAGAGCATGGTGGGGGCCTGAAACTTACCTGACGGCTTGGATGAGGTAGAATAAATAGCCCAGAGCTCTAAGCTGTCAATAGATTTAATTCACCCAAAGTGTGAGAGCAAGATAGAACATAAACCTATTTATTTAAAAGGTCACTGTGACAACTAGTTAGCTATGAAGGAATGTGGGAATCAATAAACAAAAGATTCTAGATTTAAATCTTTTAGACAGGGTGGGAACGTCTTGCTAAGACTGAGGCTCCTCATGGTAGTACATGCCCAGAAGACCTTGCACAGGAGGCGCCCAAGGGGTGCCTGTCCGAACAGATGTCCGAACCTCCTTTCGATGTGGAGGAGTAATGGCTCTACTCTGAATCCCTCCTACAGTAAATGACTGAATTCACTCCACTGTTGTATCCACTGTCTTTTTCTTTTGGTCCCTTTACTGTCACATGTCTCTTTCCCATCACTCGTGAACAAGATCCAAAGATATTAAACTCCTCCATTTGGGGCAGCATCTTGTTCTTGACCTGGAGTTGGCACACCACCCTTTTCCTGCTGAGAACCGTGGATTCAGACTTGGGGTGCCAATTCACATTTCTGCCGCTTCACACTCAGCTCCAACCTACTCCAGTGCAATCTAGAGGCCACCACCTGATGAAGCCAATACAGCCACATTCTCCCAGGAGGAAAATGGAGTCCCCACCCTTGAGCACCATACCCATTATCTGCAAGAAGTGTAAATGACATTCAGTTTCCTATCCTTAACCTAAACACATGGTGGAAAGTAACTGTTTTGTCCACCAGGGAAAACCCCAGCATATAGGCAGGGACCTGGGGGAATACTAGTGCCCCTACCTGCTGCCTCTCCTCGAGGGAAACTCCAGATTGGAGCAGAGTCCCATAGATGGGTTCTAGAACCCAATATGTGTGTTCAGGTGAGCCCAATTATATCTAGTGGGTATCTTTCAACTTCACACATTAGCTCAGGCTCTTTCCCCATCAGAGAGGTGGCGTTCCATGTCCAAAGAGCTTATTTCACCAGCTAGAGATCAGACTGCCGAGGCCTCCACCCTTGAAAGTCACCCACCCACCATACATTGCACCTGAACCCTGTAGTGCCTTCTGCAGGTGGTGAACCCAAAAGAAGGTGGGCACATGTTGCCTCTTTGGGCTTTGTCCGAATGGGCCGAATGGACTAAAGTTTAGCCACCAAGCACTTCCATGCTTCCTCAACGGTGTGGCCCCAGTAACCTTGTACCAGGCAGGGTTAGAATCAGTCTCACACAGAGTCGCAAAGGTTTGAAAATAATAATGTTTAATTTATAAAGAAAAACAGACTGAATGCCAGTTCTTGCGATCACTATGAATCAGTCTGCACTGATGAGCAGAATTCATCTGCAGGAGACTTGGCTCAACTTGTTGCCAACTTGTTTTAAAGTAGTTATATTCCTATGTAAAAGCAAGGCAGCTGAGCATCTTTGCCAATTTGCTGTTAAATAGCTGATTTTTCCTAATTCCTCACATTTAATTACCAATTTATCCCAAACACATTGCATGCAATTGTCAACCTAACCCTGTTCAGTTGTAAAGTCATAAGGGACTAACTCTTCTAACTCATCTTGATGCACCAAAGTTTTCAACTGTCTGCGAGTAGTCACAGACCAACTCCCCATCTTCAAAGCAGGCATTTCAAAGGCAACAATATTGCAAGTTCCTTGCATATAGTCGCAGTAATTTTAGTTGTACAGTGATCTCCAACTGCTGTTTTCTATAGTGTGACTGTAGCTTAAGAAACAAACCCATTCAGCATCAGGGGCCTGGGTTGCATTATGCTGCAGTGGGTCCCTATTTTGAAACACTTCTTTCTGACCTAAATGTATTTTAAAAAAATTCATGTATTTGATATAGCATGATATTGTTTAATTTATCGCCTTTCTGTCGGTCTATGCTCCACATTGGTTTCTTGCACAAACATTAAGAAGTTGATGCAATACATGAAGGTCATGGGAATGTAACATATTTAAGACCTGATGTCATAAACATGCCCCTTTATGGCTCTTCTGTATCCCTGCAGGCTTTGTGTGTCAGGACCCCCTGTCGAGACAGCCTCGCTCTGACCAAAGAACACAGGTAGTGGTGGACACCAGCACACACGCGAACACAACCGTCAAGCCAAGCATTGCACTCATTCACCCTTCCTTGTGAAACATTCCCATTTTTGTCTTCATGTCTCTGTTAGTTACACTACATTCCTGCCACTGCCACTGAGCTCTTCTCTTACCCTAATGGAAAATTCACTGTAATGCAAAACAACTGCTAATGCAATTACAGTGTTTGAGTGACCTCAGTTTGTAAGTGCTACACTCTCAGTGGCTTATTGTTTTATCATTTCTAATCAAGTGACTAATGCTCTCTCTAGGCCTTGTTGCCTAATGATGCCACAACAGCTAATACACTTGGCTACCTCCACTCGACTACTGCACTAAGATTTGGCAAAGGACCTGCTGGAGGGATATTACTAAATCAGACAGATTTCTGCTCCACCTTCTATTGTGTAAAAGGCCTGTTTAGACATAAAGTAACAATGTTTCATTGTTGTATGTTGATGTGGTTTGAATGTTGTCTGTATGTGCCTTGATACAGGCTCAATGCTGATGCAGTGTGTTCACCCATTTCCTCTTAGAAACTTTTTTCTGCACATCCAGCCACTACACACAGCAGAGTGGTAAGCTTTTTTGTTGTTGACTCAGACGTATTAATCTTCCTTTGCTTTGTCCCTTTGCAATTCCCTGATGTCTGTTTCATTACTGGTAAGAAATCGCTTGCTGCTTTTTGCTTATTTGATTATGTGGCTAAAGCAATTTTTCACAGGGACAGACAGATGGCTTATATAAATCCTTAATGCTGCATTTTTAATCAAAGCTTCTTCAGCAAAAGCACTTAACAAGCCGCAATGCGCTACTTTGCGTAATGAGTCGAAAAACTTTCTTCCCGATGCTTCAGGCACACCTAAATCAAGCCAAACACTAGCTGTTGAAGAACTTCAGGGGCCCATAGAGAACCTGTCCTATCCCTTCACTCTGATCAGGGGCAACAGTTGAGACCTTTTCTGAGGGATTAAGCCTTGTCACTTTTTGGCTGCCTTTGTATCCCCACTATCCGTGTCAGGGTAATTAAATATAATCCCCCTGCTATTCAGATGACAAATTTTATATGTGATCATGCAGGGTTGTGCCCCTCTATCTGGCCCGAGTTCCAAAACTGCATGCCAAAGTTGTCAGTCACAGCCTAGTAGTGCATGCAGCAGGGAGACAACCAGAAATGCCACTGCTTAACAAAAGCACTCTATTTCTGTGGCGAAGACAAAAGAGGAGAACGGGGTTTTGGTTATCTGTGATGTAGCTTCTACATTTTCAACTTAACATACAAATAGATTTTTGTGGATTACCCTTACGGCCTTTTGTTCATCCTGATTATGAAGCACCTGATTTGCTTTAACAAAACTGGATTGAAAAGAGGAAACATATTACACCGTTTTTATCAAAAACTGTTCGCATCGTCTCCGCTTCTTGTAGCGACAGAGGCCGACGTCAACCAACATCTCAGAAACCGAGGATCTTAAGGACAAGCGAGGAGCGAAGCATGGCCAAGGAGACAGCACTCTGAACCTAACTGTTGAGGAGGTAAGGTCTTAATAACGATGTTGTGTAAAGTACTTTTAGTATAGGCTGTGTAACTGTATTTTTTCTGTATAAACATTGCTTCTTTTTTTAATAGATGGTATTTTACTTTCCTTCACTAATATAGATCAGAGTGCTGCGGAGGATAAAGGAAGAGTATGAAAGACGAGGAGGTTTCATTAGGATCTTCCCCACCGCGGATACATGGGAGCTCTATGGGTAATCTGAGCCAGGAAAGAACAGACAGATCCCTTGTAGGCCGCAAGGGAAGTTTGTCTGTAATGTTACTCATTACTGATACTGTGCTCAGATAAGCAGGACATTTAGCTTAAAGCCAGACTAAGCGACTCCTGTTTGCATTTGCTAATTCAACCACCAAACTACGATATAGCTCCAGAGTCACTGGAAACTTGTTGGAGTCTATGTTCCAAAAAAAATGATCCCACAGTGACTTTATATTAAAATGCTATTAAACTCCTATTAAGAGAGGAAATCCATCATTGTGCTTAAAATTTATATTCCTATATGAGGATTAGTTGCATAATTAAACCTCCGTTAGCAGCAGGGTATTTTGTGGCATTTTTAAAAGCGTTTTATTGAGCGGTCTGGGGAGCTATTGGTGCAGTTAATACCCGTTCCTTCCACAGGATCACAGAAGTCTCATTTTTAACACATTTGCCACAAATAAAGACGCCGGAGCTCACTGGGGCCCCTGCCTTTATGATTATTGTAATTTGCTTATTATCTTCTTCTCTCAGAGGATATCTTGAGTCCAAGACATCAATGAACTTCGTGTTGGCGAACAGACTTTTCCATGGAAGGTAAGCATTTCCATTGTGGTCGGGATGGGAAATAAATCTCTCCATCAGTTTGTGGAAATGGTGGGATTGTAACGTGGCATTTGTTTGGTGTTTTGACTGGATAGGTGAGACGAACAGCTGAATAGATGACACACAGTCAGCTTTTCCAGCACGCGCCTGTGTCTATGTGGCATTGTGGCATCGATTCGGGGGCAGGAAGGGAAAGATAGTCACAGATGAATTGTGCCGTTTTATTGAACCGCATTTTTGTTATTGTAGTACAACGTTCATTTAGGTTATTTGAATCTGCGCAGGCTTTCAAAATTTAACCACAGGTTTGACTGTATTGACTGGAGATTTGTCCCCCGACTAAGCTAAGATTTTCCATATTCACTAGGTAGTGAGTTCAGGGAGATGGTTGCTGCTGCAGTACCTAACTTAAAGTTGAAATTTACAGCTGTTTCTCTGCTTTATACTTGTTGATAATATCCATATAAATCATTATTCTTGTTGTTATTATCATTGCGTTGACACGTCTTGCTCTGCCTCGCAGGAATGTGAATGGGAATGTGCAGCTGCAGGTGGACGTGGTCCATGGCTGTCACGTTGTCCAGTATGAGAGGAAGCTGCTGTCTCTGGAGGCACGAAAGAGGAGACAGCGCCACCTGACTCATGGCTCTGCTGCAAGGAAGAAAAAATCGGGTAAACTCAATGTGTTCTTTCTTTTTTTTTTCCTTCAGTTTGAAATAACTTTTTTTTTCCAAAACTAGGAAGAGTGTAGCTAAGTAGAACAACATCTCACGCTAATGCACTTTTGGTTCCAATAAATAACTCCCCTGTGTCACGGTAAGGTTGGCCAAATATGACTCTGTATGAGTTCATTTCATTGCAGCAACAATAAAAAGCCTATTTTGAGTGCATGTGTGTATTTTATCCCAAATGCCAGTGATGCAACTGACATTTGTCTTTTCTTGCTGTGTTGCATACCTCAGGGAAGGAATCCAAGGCCTCCCTGACTGAGAACAGCAGTCAGGAGGGAGAGGAGTGTGCTCAGGAGGAGGTGAAACAAGTTCTTGAGCCAGTTTCACACAAGGCTTTGGTAGCAGAGCAAAGAAAACAAGTGGCCACACCACTGGAGCGATGCCACAGTAAGGCTCAGTCCAGCTCAGAGGCAGCCGTGCACAATGCCAGCCCTACAGTCAACCTGCTCAACATCCTTCAACAGGGCTGGGAACTCAGGTCAGTTTGCATTCTGGGCTGCTGCTCCCATTCGTCCTCATTGAGTAAGGAATACTGTGAAGTTGCAGGTAGAAACGAGGACGAACATTTACACGTGTTGATGTTTTAATTCCTCTCACTACCTCTGACTGGCTGGGCCTCAACGAAAGTCAGTGTTATTCTTGTACGCCATTGAGTCCAGACATAATAGTTTACTTTTTAACTTTTTCTGCTTTGATGAAAACACAGTTTTAACTTAGATTGAAGCACATGGCACTTCAGTAAAAGGGGGCATGAAAAAGTGTTGAGGTACATGATGGGTCTGCAGAAGGTCCCGCAATTTAAGTAGTTTGTGACCGTCTAGTAAATAAACGTTGGTTTATTAGCACAGGCAGTAGCTTTCCTTTTCCTGAGCTACAAGTAAACAGTCATTGTTTGAAAATGGTATAAAAGCAGATGTAAAGGGTTCAAAATTTGCTGAGGATCAAGACACTCACTTTTCTTTAAATAAAGACACGCAGATACAATATGCTTTCACCACTGTACTTAGACTCAACAAAGGCTGCAGTCTCCTGTCATTTCAAACGTGTGCCTGAAATTATAATTTCAGGAAGAATTACGATAACAAGTCTGAGTTTGTAGAAATTCCTTAGTGCTTGCCAGGACTGTGCACGAAGCTGGGAAATTATAGTATAGCATGTCTTTGTTTGTGTTTGACAGCTACAATGTTCTGGCAGTACTCTCTCCAGGTTCACCTGGGCCACGAAGACAGTTTGTCATTTTGATACTGATACAGACAAGATGCACTGTGTTCCAACAGCATTCTGTTATCAGCTATTGTTGCATATTTCTATTTTTCATTGCTTTATATTTGCTTTGCCTTTGATGCTTTTTCCTCTCTCTTTTCTGCTTTTACCTCTCCTCTTCAGCAAAATGCAGGCTCGTATTGCTTTCTCCTCTTACCTGCAGCGAGTCCAGCAAAGACTGTTAGCAGAAAGCAGAGACAACACCATCTCAGCTTGGCCCGACAATGGCAACGATCAAATGGTACAGCTATAGCATTTTTTTTTTAACTCCTTGTAAAAAATGAAAGCAATCGAACACTCTGTAACTTTGTTTTCTCTGTATGTATGTGTGCATGTCAGTTTCCCTTATTATTCCTCTGTTACTCATCTGCACCGTGGAAATCTGCACGTGGCATTTGTAGCCACATAGAAGGAAAACGTGGACTCTGTAAAAGAGAGTCTGTTTGGAAAGTCTGCATTGTAATGGCATACATCATCATCATCATCAGCAACCTCAAAAAACTTGAGGAAAATCAGTGTAAAATCGTGCCTATCTCTGATCTTTAAATTCAAAAGTGTTTTAAAGTGAGTCAGACCCAGAGTTAAGACGACAGAGACGGCTCAGTGAATCAGTGATTCGGGAAACTGATGATAAAAGTTTTTTTTCTTTGTCTTTACAGGAGCTAGTGATTCGCTTTCTGAGAAAAGCAGCCAGTAACCTTCAACAAGACATAAAGGTAGTCTTGCCCAGTCGGCAGTTACCACTCCAAGACCGCAGACGCATCCTGTCCCATCAGTTAGGGGAGTTTATCCACTGTTATAACAAGGTACCCCTTCCCAGACTGTAGAGTCATTGCAGAATTACAATTCAGAGAGGTGCTTGAAACACAAAGGACATTGAGCTGTTTATTTCCAACAGTCAAAGTACATCTGCAGGTCTGTTCTTTTCTCTATGTTCCCAGGAAACTGAACATATGGTGAAAAAACAGGAGATCAGTAAAGAGGAGCGTTGTGTTAATCCTAAAGTGTTTCAAGAGTACATCAGTGCAGCCAGGTTAGTGATTTGGCTCAACTTTTTTGAGCCAAGTTTTCTGCTACACACATTTATTTCATGTCTTTTTTCTTCTTCTTGAACTAACAGTGAAAACGACCTGGAGGAAGTACTGACATTCTACACGCAGAAAAATAAATCGGCCACCGTCTTCCTAGGAACAAAAGTCAGAGGCATTAAGAAAGATGTTCGTGAAGCAAATGCCTCAAGAGATTCAGGAAACTGTGATAATTCTAAATGTGAGTTTCTTGTTTCTTTTCCCATGTATGCTTTTTGTTTTTTCTACTGTACATCTGGTTCATGTTTTAATTTTTTATCATTCAAGCATAGTAAACAGGAACTGTTTAGATTTGTGAATCTAGAACAGTGAAAGGAAAAAAGATTGAGTCATCTGGGGTGAAGAAAAGGTCAGCTTCAAATGATTAGAACTTACTGCGGGAAAACAAATGTGTGTCAGAGCTGAGGAATGACTAACTGATGATAAAGGAGCTCTGGCTTATTTCCTCCTTTGAACAGCTTTGGCCGTGGAAGCGGATTCAGAGTTGTCGCTCCTAACAGGGAAAGTCAGCTCCGACTCAGACAATAAGGCCACTGATGGTCAGCCTTCTTTTTGTTTGCTGACTGAAGACATACAGGCTGAAGTAAGAATGGTAAAAACCCAGCCAGAAGTCCAGTCGACTCAACACCGCTCCAGTTTTCCTGTGACCTTGGACTGCGTGCACAATCATCTGCAGCACTGCTCTCCTGCATCCCTGCCTCTTCACTGTCCACCGCCGCCTCCACCTCCTCAGCCACCATCTTATGCACAGTCCTTGGCAAAGTCTCACCTCTGCCATTCTGAGAGTCTTTCTGACCCTCCCGCATACACCTCTGCCCATGTGGTCACACAACCTCCAAGGGTCCTGTGGACGGCTGCGCCCACGGGCTCAAACGCAGCGACTACAGGGCCATCAACACAGGTGCTCAGAAGAATTCAGTCCTTTACCTCATCCATGGCTGGCTCTGCAGCGGCCTCGTCCGTTCCAAGTGCCACACACATCTATAGCCAGAAGCTCTCTAGACCCACATCTGCAGGCCAAGGTAATCTTTCCTGCACGGCGTGCTGGTGTTTCAAATCAAATTCACAAAGATGTTCTCACCTTTTCCTTTTTGTTTTTCTTTCTCAGTGATCAGGAGGAGCACTTCCAGTAAGCTCAAGTCAAACTCAGTGGGAGCTTTCAGGGAGTTGAGCACTCTGACCGCTCAGGCCCAGTCCAACCAGCAGGCCTTCATCTCAGCCCTGCAGAAACTGGCAGACAAGCAGGTTGCTCACCACTATGCCAGCTCCAGTCACATCAACCTGCTGACACAACATGTAAGTTTATTATGCTCTCAGCTTCTGCAGCCCTGTGACTCAACAGCTACAACTACTTTGAGTAAGAAACTATGTTGAGTTATTAAGCAACTGTAAACTGATCTGTGTAATGGTTCATGTAAGGAAGAAGAATCTGGCCTCTCTGCAGTAGTCCTCTCACTGTGAGGTCTTTGATATTTCTCTTTGTTGATGTGTAAACCTGGCTCAGGCCCCACGCTGATCGGCGGCATCTAACTGCTTATTCATTCAGCAGACCTGTTGGAGCCCGAGGGTCTGCACCTTCCTTCTTCAGCCTTCAGCTCGCCTGCAGTCTGCGGGCTGGGGTTGGTATGGGGGTGGGTCTAGGAACTGGAGTTTGAAGCTGGCCGGCCCAAACAGTGGTGAGCAGCGTCAGCCCCTCAGCTCTGTGTGAGGTCTCATTATCAGAAGCACCATGGGGGAGTGATTTCTGTTGATACTTAACAAGCAGCCACCTTTTTTTTTCTTCTTTTTTTGTGGTAATTGATGCTTATAAATCAAGGAATGTGGCAAATTGGCACCAAGCAGGGGAGTGGCAACTTAGTTGTCTCTATCACCACCTTGTCCCATATTTCCCAAAGGTTTGCCCTTCAGCTTTGGGAGCCCATCAACCTTTCATTCTTCCTCCTGTTCCTTTGCCTCCTCTTCTGCATCGCTGGATTATTTATTTATTTTCGGTCAGATTTTTGCGATGGCACCAGACCACACAGGCGGCAGTTTTATGGCTTCCTTATGACTGTATATTATTCTGTCTATCTGAAAGGTGTTTGCTGTATTTCCTGTCGGTAGTTAATCCTCAACATGGCAGCAGCTTATTTTTCAGAGTAAAGTAGTTCAGTGTTTTGCACTTAAAGGCTTAGAGTACATTTACTTTTTGCTTTTTTTTTCCAGGACTGAGATTTGAAGTCATTAAATCACTTGCTGGACTAAATGGAGAACTTTGTAAACATGAACAACACCCTGTTGCACAGTTGACTCCGTAATTACTCACTCTCATGCTAGGGCACATATACAAAACAGAAACTGAAATTGAGTAAAGCCAGACATGCTGAACATCAATGAAGTGAATATACTCCTGGGCTGTGATATATTGATGGGCATATATGTGCATACACAGCTTGTGCCTTGAGTGAAAAGATTTCTTTTGACAGATCTATACTCCCATTTTGGTCTCTTGACATGTTATATTACATGTTCTCCAAAGGTTGTTTTAATTTCTGCAGATTATATTAAACACTTTATAAAAAAATATGACCGGTCTACCTTAATAAACCCCAATAAACCAGAGCTGTAGCTATGTAACAAAACGCCAACACACTCTTTATTAATGCCATGCAAGGCCCAGCAGCTTCAGTTTTTTCCCCATTGGTCCTTTAGTGCACAGAAGGAAATAAAGTAAATAAAGCACCGCAGCGTTATGTTTAATTCTCCCACCAGATTTCATCGAGCATCATTCCCAGGCTAGCACAGAGCAGTACTGGGGCGCTTTTGCCACACAAGTGCTGATGTGGTTGCAAACACTGTTGGCCTGGAAAGTCATGATAGCTGATTCTGTTGAGGATGCAGGAGGGGGAGGGGACCGCTTAGATTTAGTGCTGAGCGGAGACTGGCTGCGCCATGTGCTGTGTGTACATTTCACACAGCCCCCAGATACGAAAGATGGAGGTGATTGGCGTATGAAGAAACACAATGTTCCACCTAATCTTATTCATCACTTCTCTGTATTTAGACATGGGATCACTATTAGCGAGATGTTTGTTTGTACTTATGCAGAAAGTGCGGTTACAAGTACATTATGCTTGTAAAATGCAATCAAGATGAATCCTCCCTTCAAGTTTTTAAGCCTTCCTCTCTGCCCACAGTTGACCAACCTGAACCTGGCGAACAAGATGCTGAGCAGAGAGAGCTTCACACTGAACCCTAAAGCTGCTACAATCCAAGGACCAGTGAGAGCTGTTCACCCTGAAACAGATCTACCGAACAGCACTGGGTGAGTCCAAGGAAGTATAACTTACAATAATCTCCCCTTGGAATAATGGTTTGGATCCAACATGAGTTCTCAACAAACAACTCTTAAAATCCAGATATCCGAGATGCTTTCTACTGCATTGTAAAGTCTGTATATGCACAGAATGTAAGCATAAATAAAGTCCCAGTACAGCAAAGGCCTGAAGCTAATTTAAGATGACCAGTAGATGGACAGCTGTATGGTTTCAACTTTGGGCATAAAACACTTGAGACAGCGTCAAACATGTAAGTAAAGTAACATTCACCAAAACCCTGACAGTGAAGCAGAAGAGGAGGTGAAGGAACAGGAGGAAGAACGAAAGGCTGATGGGCTCCCAAAGCTGAAGGCCAAACCTTTGGTGCACAGCGACTGGAATTTCATTTTAATACGACTCTGTTCTTTAAAAGAAAAATTGGTTTAGCCACATCTGAAAATTGCATTTGTTGGATATAGATGCACTGGAAAGCACACTTTATTTACATTTACTCTTCAGAATTGCCTCTCTGTTAGCTCGCTTTTGCATTTAGCACATATGGTGTCTCTGCTACTTTGCAAAAGCTTCAGTGCCTCTTCTGGTCAAGTTTCAGCATTGTGCTCATGTGTACTATTTATTTGCTCTCCCCTGAGGCAGCAGACACAGATTAGTGCATTACAGTCTCAATGGGGTTCACTGCCAAGGTAAACAGCGTGTCCTTCCTTTGACAGACTTAAGTTTGAGATGTGCACAGATGTTGGAGTCAGGACACACAGAATCTAAGAATGCCTGAAGCATTCAAATTAATGTTTAACTTTCATGAATATTCTTTGCTATTCTCAAGATTAATGTTTGTAAAAGCTTCAGAAAAGCTGTTCAGTGTGACTCCCTTTGGCTAAACTACTGTCTTGGGGATTGTCTGCATAATCACTTTTATGCTATAATTACTATAAGTACTGTGCTTCAGTGTAGTATATACAGTAAGTATAAAGCCTGTTTGGTGAGGCTCATTACATTCTAAAGACTTTTTAAAGGCTTCTGACAATTTATTAGATTAAAGAAGTTTGTCTCTGGAAAGGGAATGAGAATTTCCAACACCCCTTTGGGCAGACTAGTTTATCTGCAGGCAGGGAATTGGGTCTTTTGTTCCCCTTTTTAGCTGTGCTCCGTGGACATAAGTAGTTGTAGAATTGGCTGCTGAGTGTCGGCGTTATGTGAAGCACGCTGGCAGCTGAAAGCGTTCTGTTGGAGCGGTGCTGGAGGCAGTGGTACAATGTCAACACCCACAAAGTCTGTCTACTCAAGGCTCTCGCCTCAGTACCCACTGAAATTCCTCCTTCTTCACCCCGGCTCACTGCGCTGAGAATAGGAGGAAGGAAAGAGAAGGAAAATGATCGCATCATCATGGCTTATGGCACCAGACCAGGATTATAAACCTATAGGCAAAGAGGGGAAACCTTAAGTGTGTCATCTTCTTCTTTTATTTGCTTATGTGTGAGTGGCAGTGTCTCAGACTGCTTGGCCCTGATTTTGGACTCTGTTTTTCCAGTCCTGCCCTTCCTTATGTATGGAGCTGTCAGGGAATTCCTGGAATGTCTGGCCTTTTCCCTTTTAAAAATGTTTTTATTCCCACAAACTAAAAAGAGACTATTAATAGCTTATATCATTTGTACAGATAGATTCATAACAGAAATCACGCTTTGAGCGATGCAGTCCTCTGACGGATCAGAGTTACAGTGTGATTTCAGACATTGCATTTGCTTTTCCATATCATGTTTAAACACTTCATTCATCAGAAAATAAACTGGCCCACGATGCTCTTGCAAAAGAGATTCTAAGATTTAAAAATGTTTGTTCAGGTTTGCCTTTCAGCTATTCACATTTCAGAATTATACTTTCACAAATCTAAAGAGGGAATATAAATTAGCGTTTTCTTGCAATACAAAAAGGTCTTGAGGGCCCCGGAACACCGAGCCCTTGGTTAGGAATTATCTTTAATAAGATATTAGGATAAAATGTCTTGATTTCATCCCGACTCTGTTTCTTAAAACACAGAATTTCCTGAGCCCCCTCCCCCCTACGTTCGGGCTCATGGCTTGTGCCAAACATACTGAAACTGTTAAGCGCACTGGCTCTTAAAGCAACCACAGGGGTGAAGTATGATGGGTTTCAAAGTGTAGCATGGCTCTTTGAAGTGCTGCTGCCAGGATCTGCCAGGTATGCTGCATCAGCACTCTTAGAGCTCCTGCCTAAATTCAGTGTGCTGACAGTCAGGGGGCTTTGAACCCATACGGCCCATCTTCATATACTTATGGGGTAAGTTGGTGATCTCTTCCGGTGTTGGAGCTCCTGGTACATTTATGATCATTTCCATTCAGTGTACCTTTAAATTGAGGTATTGGATTACTTTGAAATACTTGACACCTTTTACTTTGTTTAAAAGTATTTTCTGTTACTTAAGTTTGCTAATACCGCTTGTGGTCTGAGTTTGCACTGGACCTCCATGTGGTCATGTATTATTATTAAGTCAGCAGCTGGTCATGGTTGGTTCTCACCATTTGTGTTTGTTATGTGAATAGTTATTGCTGTCTTATTACCAGAGCCGCAAACGTTCCTCTCTGTTTTCTTCCCCTCTACGTTCATACCAGCTTTGTGTTATGAGAAATGCCACAACCCTGCTTACACAAGGTATTTTTAGTCCTGTTCAATACTTTGTTAGATTGGTGTTTTACTTGGTTGAATTTTCTAGAGGCGAATGATTCCAAAGGGTTTTAAGGCGGTCCATTTTCTAAACCAACAGCTCGAGTAATCAGAAAAACGCTGGTGAAAATGTAAAAATTCTTTGATGGGGGACAGATTCCCACAAAATTGGTCTGATGTCTCTCTTCCTTTGAATTTAAAAGGAGAGATGTTTTTATTCACGTTGATTGAAACCAGATGTGGCAATGGGAAGGCAAACCGTTAAGGTAAGAACAAGTGAAATTCCAGGGAACAGATTTAGTCATTCAGCAGAAACATACACCTTTAAAGCAGTTTTCATTCCCACAGTGTGCAATATGGTTATATGTACTGTATATAATCTGCTTTATGGAGCTGACAAATGTGTGACCGTGAATTAGGGTTGGGTTGCACCAGCTATTTTTAAATCCATTGCAGGTTTGTGTGTAAAGCCCTTACTATTCATCTTAGGATCACTAGCAAGTATGAAGTTACTGCTCAAAATTTAACCTTTAAAGCTGGTAAATACTTCATATTCTTAGAACTACTGTCAACAATGTAAACAGGACATGCAATACAAAGCACTGATTTTAATATAATTTCTAAATAACATATATGTGTTTGAGTGTTTGTGTGTGTCCGTCCCTTGTCACAAGGACTTGCTGTAGCAGGTGGTTCCACATGTTTGATTTGGCCCTTCCTGACATAACTCCCGAGGGGATTTGTGTCTCAGGCTGGAATTCAACCAGTGACATTTTGCTTGCCAAGGGAATCTGTAAACTACGCTACTGAGTCACTAAAAACAAATAAACTAGTAGTAATTTCTAGATGTAAGTGTTAGTTTGTTTTACATTAGACATGCAGGGAAAACCTGCATGTAACCACAGCAATTTCCTAATGTTGTAAACCTGCTCAACATTTGGCAATAAAACCCTTTCTGATTCTGATTCTGATTCTGATTCTGATTCTGAAAAAATCTTTGTTGCGTGTGCAGGAAATGTTAATATCCATCGATGCATTGTAAAAATGTAATTTTATTATTGATTACAGCAGAAATTCCTTTGTCGTTAGAAAACAACTCTCTGAACTCGACTTTACAAAGAGAATCAATTGGCTGCTTCTCTTTGTTATCAATCATAGTAATCTGAAGGTCTTAAGTTTTTGGATTACTGTTAAGACAAAATCATATGTTTTTTTATTTATAAAATAAAAATAATAATTGTATTCATTACAAAATATGCAGGGAAATTCATCATGATAGTATTTTTGGTTATTATGAAACAGGAACATACTATTTCCATCAGGTAATATGTTGTGGTATCTTGGCCATCATATGTATGCTGCCATCAACCACTTTAGTTACAGTTTTCCTTTTGTCTTCAGATTTCTTCATGGCACAGATTTTACAAGCTGCTGGAAACATTCCTCAGAGATTTGGGTGTATGATAGCAGTTGGCTGCACATCCATGATGTGAATCTTCCATTTCACCATATCCCAAAGATGCTCTATTGGACTGAGATCTGGTGACTGTGGAGCACTTTTAAGACCAGTGAACACTGTCAAGTTCAGGAACTCATTTTGAGATTATTTAAGTTTTGTGACATGCCGTGTTATCCTGGTGGAAAGGACCATTAGAAGATGGGTCCAATGTGGTCATAAAGGGATGGAAACGGTCAGCAACAACACCCAGGTGGGCTGTGGAGTTTTAGAAAATGCTCAATTGCTCCAAAGGGGTTCAGAACCTATCCTCCACCGTATTACACCATCACCACCAGCAGCTTAAACCACTGATACAAGACGAGATGGATTTCATTTTTTTTTTTTTACATCAATTTCTGTTATATTGTTTTCAGTAATTCAGGTGACCCTTAACCTCCCTTAGTTACACTACAATAGGCATAAGCTGCTGGGGGCTGGAGTATCATGGGGCTTGACCTTATAATATAAAGCACTTTGAGGTAACCGTTGTTATGATTTGGCGCTATATACATAAAATTGATTGAATTTGACTCAGCCTTTAGTGTAAATGGTTATAATCCCTGTTTTGTTTTGTTTTTCATTTGTTTGTTTTTTTAATCCATTGATTTTACTTCTCCAGAACTGTTTTATAGCTTTCCTTTTTTTGATTTTCAAGTGAAGTTGTGTGAGTTTAAAACAGAAGTGTTTAAAAAGTAACCTATCATCCTACTTGGAAGAAAGCACTTGTAGTTTTCAGTACCCCACATTGCTCACCACTGCCCTAACGTAAGCCTCATCATCCCCGGCACTGCTGAACTCAGCAAATTGTATTTTAAGAACAGACCTACTTGGTGTCATGTTTTTGCAATAAAACACGATAAACAAACACTGATTAATGGTTGGAAATACCCCTACACTCTTGAGGCTGCTAATGTTTACACTGACCAGGCAGGGCTTTGAGATAATCTGGCATGATGTCATCTCAGACGGTACATTTTCCCACATTCACACTGAGTTAGATTGATGCCGCACATGTGCTCAACTCGCACGGCTGTGTTGTTCTACAGTAAGTTATATCAGCATATTAAAGGATGGCGAGCACAGCGGGGAGTAAGCTGACACCCACGAGCAGAGGTCCGGCAGTGAGGGAAGTCCCAGATAGCTGAAGCTCCACACATGTGCTGTGATGAGAAACTCAGATGTAAAACTATTCCGCTCACTCATTTAAGAAAAAATAAAAATCAGATTTTATTGGTTGCTGTTTTGGACAAAAGTGCTTCCTCCTGTTTTTAAAATTCATGGTCATCTGTAGTATTTTTTTTGTGTGGTGTTGTGTTGACAAGTTTCCCCCCGTCACCCCCCTCCCTTGTGAGGTTTTATAGCGACATTGTACTGAAGGAAAGCCTGTGCTTTTGACCTGAGACAGTCCATTTTAGACCATATGGTAATAAAATGGTAGCACTGAAGGTCCCCGCGGTCCAGTCTGCAAACTGCAGCCAAGTCAAAGGAAATCGCTGCTGTAAACAAAGAACAAGTTCTTGTTTTGTCTCCTGGTGATGTAGAATCTCTGGCCTTGCAAAGTTCACAGACGAGCCTTTGTTTCCAGGAGCAAAAAAAATAAAAATGTATTGGCCTTTGGTCACAGCAGTTGTTTTTGCAATATATGTGCTATTATGTGAACTGAGAAATGCATGGGCGGATAACATGTTCACATGAGTTTAAGATCCCTTGTGTCTTGGCCACACAGGGAAGGAATTTTTTTTTTTTTACATTTTAGCAACACAAGATTATTATCCCACACTATGCATTGTTGTTCAAGATTAATTGAATTCTAATTTTAGCACTTATCATAGTTTGGTCCTAAAAATATTGTAGCTATTGTGAATCTAAGTGTGCAGTGTTTTCTTTAACTGTAGACCAATAGACAAATGTTATTGCATGTGGGAGGAATTTCCAAGAGCTTTTTTGTCATTAAGACCTCCAGGGATCCCATTTCTTTAGCTGTACGCATATCTCTTTCTCTTTTTTCCCCTTTTATATTTTTCCTCGCAGCTCCCAATAGTGCTCTTTTATGGCATTATTTTTGGCTGAGGTGGTGTATATATACAACAGCACACCAGACTCCACAGACTCGATTTAAGCATGTCTGAAGGCTGAGGCTGGTCACTTCATTGCTTTAACAGTGGTCAAAAATGGTTGAAAAAAAAAAACTGAAACAGGCTTAGGCCTAATGACAGATAATCCAGTTACAAACTTGTGGAGCTCGTCAAAAGGTTTGCTTTCCAGGTTGTGGTTTTGTGATGTGGATGGAACGTGAAGCGAGGAGGAAAAGTTTTTAGTTCAGCCTGTGTTTGCCACAGGCTTGCCCTCTGCTTTCACTCTGATTTGCACACTTTGATTTGAGGCTCTGTGGGCACAGCGGCCACTGGTTAGGATGTTGTGAGATGTCTTGTTGTTTCACTTTTTACTGGTGGTCTTGCATCTCAACATGGAGTTTATAGCTATTGTCACATCTGCCTGGAATGCATGGTAAAATAACTGACGAGGTAGCAGTGAGTAAATATATTAAGCTATTTGTGGACTCATCCTTTGTTGTTGTGTAACAAAGCACGAGTTATAGTAGAGTAGTAACATCTGTGTTTCAAGCAAGCATTTCCTTATTTTCTGTCATATATATTAAACAACAGTGGATGGCTTGAATCACACCAAGGCTTGAATGTGTGTTCTTCAAATGGCATGCAATTGCTAGGGTGAAATTGGTTGCAAAGTTATATACAGTGCTGCACTAATAAAATACCTTGTAATTGGTTTGGTTGCTAGCTGGTAGCCATGGTGGCCCCTCAAACTGCTTGCCAAGCAGCTGTAAAAATGTAAACATTGTGACATAAAACAGAAACACCGATCGACTGCCTTCAAATGAATAATTGGTTGGGAAGGCATTACTTTTATTTTGAAGGTGAGCGTTCTCTGTTTGTTGTTTGCATTGCACCTTTTCACATTTCAGTTTTGACGGTTAATGGTTAGTAAAGAGAGTAAATGGTGAGTGTTTGCAGACAAGTTGTCATCTTCCTCGCAAACTACAGGCAACCTTAGAAACCTTCTAGATCTTCTAGACTGCATCTGATCTCACCTGGTGACCAGTTAGGGAATAATATTTTACTCTAGCAATCAGCGGTTACTAGGGGGTCACCAACAGGTCTCTAGGCCTGTGAAACTGAGGCCTGGACATGGTCAAAGTTTCAAATAATGATGTCAGTGTATGCATAGGTAACCCCTGTGAGTCAAAATGTCAGGATTCAGGCTACTCTAAATCCTTGGTATCGAAGAGTGTTTCCTGTCTTGGATCTGCACGCTGTCAAAGAGACTGGATGTCATAGACAGAAAGCTCTAGCCGTGAGCACGACAGCCCCACCCATCTGCTGTTTACAAGGGGTAGCCAGCCAGTCGAAAGTTGATCTAAAGAGAGCGAAGCTAAAACTGTTTGTTTGTATTCTTGCCAGAAAATGTCTTTAAAGAACACTCTATTTTTCTTTACTGAGGTTTTTGGGGTGCAAATGTCACTGATATGCAATTCAGAAGAAAGAGTGACTTTGTTTTTTTGTTGGTTTGAAGTATCTTACTTTTTCACCCTGTGTATCTGTGTCACTTCTCTCTAAGCCACAGGCCGCTAAAGGAAGAGGACTGGCAGATGCACAATGACTACAGCCTGGTGAGAGGGGTGACACCCAAGCAGCACTACCAGCCCACCCAAGGGAGCTACCAGCTTCAGTTTGCTATTCAGCAGTTGCAGCAACAGAGACTTAAGGCTCATCATCAATTTCTGGACCAGACCCGCTGCGGACATCAGGTAAGATGTATCATTTTCTTAGTAAAGAAAGTTTGTTTTCATTTAGCATCTTGGATGCTAAACAAGTGCACTGCTCATTTTTCCATTGGTAGTATTTGCATTTCTATTTTTTCTTCTTTTTTTAAAAAATAAAAATAGCACAGACACTTGTCTGTTAACACAATAAGATTATTTTTCAGATTCTTTTCTTTGTTGGTTTTCAGTAATGGCACCATGTAAAACTTAACCTTAAGAACTTTTAACCCATAAAAACCTCAATATTTGTGTCTGTATAATTTATGTCCTTACCTAAGCTCTGCACTTTGCAAAATAGTGCAAAATGCACCCACGTTAAGAGAAGAGCTTCCATGTTAGCCTCTGGAGAGCTATTTAGAGGTTCGCCTTCCAAACTGTCTAATAAAACAGTGTTTGGTGGAGACAGTAGCTTAATTCTAAAGACCAAAATGGAACAACTCTCTCCAATATCACATCATTTGAGTGAATGACTCTACTAGGCATATGGGAAGGTGAGTAGACAAGAAATTCTACTCTTGAGGGTACCAGCAAATCTTGACTTTTCAAATAGCTCCATTAGTTTTCCTATTTTAAGACAAATAAATTCGGAATATGATTTTCTTAGCAGTAGAAATGTAGCGGCAAAAACCTTTTAGTTATGGCTAACAAGCCGTGACAGATGTGATTTGGCTGTTTTTACAGGGAGATTAGAAAGTTAGAAAGGCCTTAGCGTAGGAGTTTTTTGTTTTTCTTTGTTTTGTTTTTTTTAATGTGTAGACTAAAAAAGAGTGGCTCTCGCTTTTAGCGCAGTGACTTTGAAAGGAGATCTCACCAAGAAGGAGGATGTATGTTTCCATTTTCCAGAGGATTTGGTGGACTGAATCTATGGATTGAGAGAAATGGAGACAGGACAGTGCCATGGGACAGCTTAAAGGCTGGAATGACTGGATGCGCCCAATTTTTTCCGAGTACTGGAGTTGGCCTCACGTCATTGTTTCTCATCTTGGTTGGAAGTTAATTAATGCAATTGAGGTGATATTTCTTTTGGCTTGGTCGGCAGCCTTACGTAAGGCACTTTATGATTCATCTCTTCTCGTACTTTAAACACATTTAACCACGTTTGTCTTATCTGTGACATGCTCCACCATAATTCAGCTATATAGCGGCATGAATATGTCTTACAATTTCAAATCCCTTGTGCCATTAAGGACTTTATGTGTACAGAGCAGTACAAAGAGTCAGAAGACAGAGCTTTTTTGTTGTTCACCCTCTTAAACTGAGGTAATAGGAAGGCTGACTCTAGATATGGTTGTCTCACCATCAAGTCAGGCAACCCTCCCTAAAATCTTGGCTATCCCATCCCATTCATTCCCTTCTCCCCAGCTGTCATGGCAATGTGTGCCACTGCTTAGCTCTTAGGCAAAATCGTTTTGCATGGTAGAGACCTTAATCTGCCAAGGAATTTGTCAGTGACTTGATTTCATTCTTTAGTGCCATTAGATAGGGGTTTTGATCTTTTTGATACAAATGTATTTTATCTCAAATTCTTGGATTTCCTGGCCTTGGGAGAAAGTTACCAACACTTTTTGATAATATAAATACACAAAAGGATGTTCTTAGTCGAATGTGGGTGCTCGTGTGCATACACGTTCTTCAGTGTGAGAGAAAGAGACAGGGGTCTGTTCCGGCACTCCAGTCCACGTTCCAGTTACTGGGTGCAGACTGCACGGCTCCTCCACAGGATTGGCCCGGGGCCACCTGGCAGCCAAAGAAAGGTGCCCTTCCTGGCCCCGCTCAAGCTGAATTGTGGCCATAGGCCTTGCAACCAGGAAACTTAGCTTCTCATTTATCAACACAGAAATTACATCAGATATTCCCCGTCACCCTGCCGGCCCTTTGAACGGCCACACTGTGAAACTGGAAAACCATTAGCTCGTTAGATAGCCGTATAAAGCTGCAGAGAAAATAGCGTGGACGTGAGATGTGGAAGGAATGTATGCGAGCATTCCCCGGCATTGCAAGGACAGAATGAAATGTGGCTCTAAAATATTATGTCAGAAAGACAACAGCATTTTCCCTCTTCACAAGCCTTTGAAGAGATCTTGTATAAACAAATAAATAATGTGAAGAATTTGCTTTTCACTGGAGCCAGCTGCGAAAAAATGTCGAGCTTGTTTTGATACCGGATGGCATTTCATTAATATCTGCACTAATTTATGTCAGGCACTTTGATATTTCACCTTAATGACCAAAGGCCACATTTTTTTCCATGACTCACCCATTCCAAATTTGCTCCAACTTCCTTAGGCCTTTTTTGGGAGGGAGTTAGATTTTTATTTTGTCCTAAACAGTTCACTACACACATGTGAGGAACAATCTGCATGTCAGTGTGTGGCACATTTAACCAACCGAGGGAGAGTTGTTTTTCTTTTACTTGGCCTTTTGAATTTTGTGATGAAGCAAATGGCCCAACAGTGATCTACCGCTACATGCCAAACAATTAAAATGAAACGTTTATTAAGGTTAAAATAAACAGGGAGAAAAGGCTGAGATATTTTAAATTACACAAGAGGTGGACTGAACATCAGCGGCAACACGTCTGATGAATGATGGAATGAGGATTCGAGGTCAGGAGAGATGTACTACAGTGATTGTCTATAGCCGTCTGTAAAACACAGCAGAGGCTCTGTCTTGGTTTTGTGGCTCCATTACACCCATTGGTGTTGGAGATTTTGTCAAAACTGACTACAAGGACTACATTTAAACATGTTAAAGAATGAAGGCAGTCTTACCAAATATTGATGTTCAAGCTTGTTAGAATTGAATCTGTTTTTACATCGCCTCTGTCAGTGCGCCTCAGGGCAGCTGTGGCTACAATGTAGCTGCCATCGCCAGTGTGTGAATGTGTGTGTGAGTGGGTGGATGACTGAATGTCGTGTGAAGCGCTTTGGGGTCCTTAGGGACTAGAAAAGCGCTATACAAATGCAGGCCATTTACCATTATACATTATATTATATATGTGTATAACATGTAAGTTTACACATGTTTCAATAAATCACTGCACCCATTTCTCAGTTTCAAATGAGAGGTGGCTCAGTACATGAGGGAACATACTGTATATGTTTTGTTTCTTTTGCAGCTTTGTATACAGCCTGCGGTTGTACACAGTTAATGTCTTGACCAAGTATGTTTCAAATTACACATCAAATTTGAAACTTTGAAACTGGATTTATATTTCAGTTAAGATCTTTGTAACATGTTTATGTTCTCTCAAAAGCTGAGTTTTACAAAAGCTTGCTCGTTCATACAGGCTTGTATTTTAGGGTTAGTAATCACTCCACAGCCACCATCACTGGTCCAGTATCATTTTAAACCATTGAAGCCACAACTGTATGTTCCATGTTAACCTCTTTCAGCTAGTTATTGAAAATCCTTTGAATTCCTTAAAGCAAACTATAATATCACTAGATTTACCAGTGAGTAGTCATCCTTTGTAGTTGCTCTTATTGTACTGTACTCTGCCCAAAGTTTAAATTAAAGGTCTCAAACCTCTTTGCTTTGTTGGTTAAGTTTCAAAGTAGCTTGATTATTGTAGTAGTTTGATATTGCCCATAAGTAACCGACTTTTGTTTTCTTTTTGGTTTCACAGGCTCAATTTCCAGACCAGACACCACATAGCCAGGCTCTCACAAAATCATCCAGCTGCCCTCCTTCCAGCTTTCACACTCTGCCCAATCAAAGCCATGGCCTAAGCCATGTCCAGACCTGTGTTAGCCCAGCTCTTGCTCCAAAGCCACCCAGCGGTGCCCGAGAGGGACAAGTCAGGAGAACGACTGCAAAGCGTCTCGTCAAGTAAGACAAATGTTGGCTCTGGATCACTCTATTTATTAACAATGCTCTATAACTGTCATATGTTAAGTTAAATGAAGCCAAGGTCATCTGAACCTCTACTGACATCACCCGACAGAGGTAAATGTCTGAATGTGAAGGTACGTCACAGCTGGACTGGTCATTAAATGATCGAGCGAGTGGGTGTCAGTGGTCCTGCCTACTGTCCGCTCTGCTCAGAAAGCTTCTTCACAGAAACTAAGTGCAGTATTTAACAGCAATGAAGAAGAGTGAAGCGGACTATCTCCATTTTTTTGCTACACATGAGAAAGGGCAAGATCGGACAACGTCCCAGCCTCCTTCGCCCTATTACACTTCCCATAGTTCATATGTGAAAACTGCTCATTTAATTTATCGCAGACAAAGTGCAGTGTGGTGGCAGGCCCTCCACCACCCACCCGCTTGTGGAATGAGACAGAGTTCATGGGATTGGTGAGCTCAACAGGACATGGCTAATGCTAATGAGAGTTCGAATATGCGTGTAGTGGAGTGCTCCCAGTCTTTTGGCCGCAGGGTGTATCTACCCGTTCAGTAAACAACCTCATCACAGGCCTGATTTCTGCCTGAACCGTAAACAAAACGTGGTTCAGTGAAAGGGCCTGGACTCGGAGCGCCGTTTAAATCCTGTTTGGTTTGGAGATAAGCTGAAGACTGCATAAGGAAAAATAAAAGGAAAGCAGTGAAGCCGGGCTGAACTGCCAGCTATTTTCCTCACTTATTTTATGACTTTATTACTGCAACATCTGGCAAAATTACCCAACAACAGCAAACCTTTGTGATCGGCGCTGACTGTTTGTTTAAAGTAGGTTGTTGCAGCGGTGAACTGCTCTTCACACTTATTTAATGTTTAAGAGGAAAGGATACCGCTGGACTGGAACACGGGCTGTTTTTGTAGTATTCCGGGTAAGCCCTTACAGTGTGTGAATTACCCCAGAGTCCCAACAGTGCATTTCTCTGTTTGACTTAATTCATTCATTGCAAGTTTGCAGGCCTGCTGATGCCGCAACCGAGCAGAGCCCTGGCTCTGCTGACGTGTTACATCCAGTCATCTGACTGGTCTGGACAAACTGTACCTGGCAAGAAAATAGTTAAGAGGGCAGTGCCGTGGTGTAGGGGTTGTATAGAATAGGTTAGTGAGGCCATGTAGGTGCCGTGTTTGCTCGTGTGTGTGCATGTGTGTCTTCCTGGCAGTGGTTGTGTTTACCCTCTGCATGTGGAATTCCTGAGCCCCCTCACACTCTTCTCTGTCCTGCATTTTTGCGGTCGACTAGTGTGACAGTGGAGAGTGTGGGAAAAACGGAAGCTTCAGGACCAAAAATGCGCTGATGGAAACAATGAAGAGAAAGAATAAAGAGAGGAGAAAAGAAAGAATGACAGAAGAGAAAAAAAAAAGGTTAACTCTGTCCAGGAGAACGGAGATGATTGTTTGCAGAAAACGGTGGGATAATAAGTTGCTTCCCTTTATTTCCAGCCCACATTTTAGGGGCAACTTAATACCCCTGTTATTGAGGCACATCTGAAACACATCCCAGTATAGGCTTAAGCCCCTCCAGCTTATAATAGTATCACTGTGCTGGATGTGTTCAAGCAGTTCAAGGTTATCCCCCTTGAACACCTTCCTCCAGCCAACTGTAAAACTGTTGTTCGATATAAACACACCAGCACTGGCTTTGGCTGGTTTCCCCACCGCTGATGATCATCGACAGCTTTTAGTTAAATCTATTGATCAGAATGAGATTTGCATTTTTGAACATTTGTGATCCAATTTGATCCAAACAAATAGTTTCCTTCAAGTAAAAGTTTATTGGGGTTGTTTTTTTGGTCCCAAAGTTGGAAATGTTATCCACCGAGCGGGCAAGGTGACTGTGTAAAGTCACTTTTAAGTAAAGCTGAACGGAGACTGGTGCACTCTCATGAATGACAGTGCCTTTGATTTTAAGCTCAGCTAACACACTTGAAGCAAATGTGCAGCTTGTTGGTATCACACTCAACAGGGCAGGGCTCTGTCTGCTCTATCAACATACCACAGCTGCCAACTCGAGGGGCTGCAAGAGCTCAAAGTGGTATGACTTCAGTGAAGGCTTTGAAAGGAGCAATTTGTAACACAAATAAATGAGCCTGTTTGGTATTTTGTTTGCAAGGTTTGGTTAGTCGCAGCTGTAACTACGGAAACCCAGGCTGTCGTGTGGCATTACTAATAGGGTGACAATTACAGCAGCACCATTAATGTCAGCCTAGCTGCTGCTTTCACTCCCTATTAATCAGCCACAACAGTAGTTATTTTCACGGGATACTGTATACACACAGAAGCTGCCAAACGTGTGTTTATGGTTAAACTTTATCCCCTTTGGTCAGTTTGAGTAACATTAAGTCACGCTAACTACCTGAGCGCACCGAAAAGTAAAGCCGCACATCTGCTGTGTTTACATAAGAACTTCAGCTCTGTGAGAATAGCGCGAAATTTTCGGCACTGGGTCATGTGTCATGTGCGCACACTGCAAGTTCAGAGTCGGTTCTCACCAGCAGTGTTTCTGGCTGCTGTCTGACTCTTGAAGTGACAGAGTGAGACTGTTGACAAAGAAAGTGATGTGAAGAACCCAGAGGTCAAGTTTTTGTTTTTTTCGCCCCCCTGAATATGAAAGGGGTTTCTTCCTGTCGAGTTATGCCTCGCTTAAAGTGGGCCAGTTCTATTTGTGGTTGTGTAATGGTATGAAAGAACAACTGTGCAGCCCCTTACAAGGAGGCAGTGTGTACCCTCATTACCTTATTAATGCTCTTTTGGCAAGCTGCTGTCCTGGGGCGAGAGGTTAATGCCAGCTAAGCTTTATTTATTGTTCCCTCTAAAAAATGCTTAGCAGATTTAATGTATAAGGTTGCAGACACGTCTGCTCCTGCTTTATGCTTCAGTAGCTCTTATAATGATTTTCTGTTTGAAAATGTTATGTTTGCAGCCGGATTATGTGAAAAGGGCAGTGTAATTCCTTGTTTACGGTCGTCAGACTGTATGTATGACGCATTGTAAGAATTCTGGGCTCTGCCTCTGTGTTCCTTTTCTCTCTGTAATCTTTGCTCATAGTCGACATAGTCCCTAATCACTACAGTGTTCTTGCCAGTGTGACAATCACATCACCAAGGACAAGGAGAAGGAATTTCTCCCCTTCGTGTCACAATAGCTCCTGTGAGGCACTCAGTAAACACTTAGCCTCACCAACCTCCAGTGACTGCACACAAAGAGCAACTGTTAGATGCTGACTTCACTTTTCTTATGACAGAAGGTGGCTTGTCAGGCATTTTATACACAAATGAGTCTTAAAAAGCAGAAAAGTGTCTTGGTTAGGATGACATGAGCTGCGAGGATCAGAACATGTAGCCTCTCTGACCAATAGATACTAATTAATTGTAGTTATTATGACATTTTATTTCATATATAGTATAGTATCAAGCGATATTAACGATTTGCAATCTATTGGTATCTGCTTTTCTAATAACCAATAAATGATGGTTAAAAAAGTAAAGAGGAGACAGGAGAAACACCCTTCAACTATATTATAAATGTTGGCATTGCATAGCTTGCAATCTGCAGCTTCCTTGTTGGAAACGCACTGCTTGGAATGCCACAACACAACCAGCTGATCTGAGCAGAGCCTGGCAGATCATACATGAGTACACAAATAATTACTCTTAAAACATTTAAGGGCATCTGTTTTTTGTTTCATGTGTTTAAAAGAAAGAAAAATATCAGCTCATATATTGGTATCAGTTATTAAACTACTATAGAAAAATACCACACTCCACCAGGTTCTGCTCCGAAATATTTGAGTGTTGGCATTAATCTTCTTGGCACAATTTGAATGACCACAAAGGCTGTTTGGAGTACTTTGGCATGTGTGTACATGTATATGTGCGTCTCTTTCAGAGGACAGATTTTGTCCCTGTGGATAGCACTGCAGTCCACATTATACCTGGATTTGTGGTGGCAAACATACAGCCCGTGGGCTAGAACCGGCCCATTAAAGGGTCCCATTCGCCCCACTGGAAGGCTTTAATATCAATGAAATCCACGGTTTACTACACAGCAGTGAAAATCTATGCAACATTAAGGGCATTTCTAGATCTTTAAAAATTGTTTAAATAATAAATAACGCTGCTATGTTAATGAGATTGGGCTGTGCGTGATCCATGAAGTAGATTGATTTGGATGAACTCTAGATGAACTACGATGGGAAAAGGTCTTTTAGCTTTAGGGAAGGAATTGTCAGCGATCCTTTGGTACTCCTGCTTCCAGCACTCTTTCATTCAGTACTCACAGCTTTTGCAGCACGCATTTTTGAGCTCTGGCTTAACACACCTTTATAGCTTTGTGACTCTGTCTTGAACAGTTGCAAAATGATAATATTTTGAATAAAAGTTGGGGGGGGGGGAAAGAAAACTCTTTTGCAATGGCAAAATGTATAAAAAACCTTTCTCTGTAATAGTCGTAGATACAGAGGGTGTCTCCGGGACACACACAGGGTGAAAACCAAACATGCTACAGTATTGCAGCTGGAAACAATCACACACGCTGAAAACCAGTTTTCTTTATATATTTAGTTTGATATTTTGCTAAAAGCAGAACATTGGCATGGGACATGTGATGTGTACCACAGCTTGGATGAGCGCTGCGGAGACGAATTTGGCCTTTGCAGTGCAGTTCATCTTTGCATAACTCCTCTGGGAATGATAATTTTTGGTCTTCACGGATTTTTGTCCTGTGTCTGATTAACAGGCAGATGTCCTCAGAGAGTTCAGCCAGTGGAACCGTTGCCAGCAGCAAGCAGGTGGTCTACGAGGCCATCTGCGGTAAAACAGGTGGGTTTAATGTTGCAGTTCCACATATTATGCTTAGTGCTCTGCTGTAGTCCTCAGGCAGGAGTGAAGTTATGCCCACTCTATGCCAGTGTTAGTGATTACAGCTAGGCATAGTGGACATTCCCCATGGAGGTCTGACTAACACCACATGATATTTTTACCCACCTCCTGCTCGTTCAGTCGTGTGCAGGATCCGTAAATGTTTTCGACACACTGTAAGAAAGTAAATAAATAGATACATACACACATAAAGGCATTGTTAAGTGATTAATTAATTACAACCCTGTTAGAGGAGTGAGGCTCTATTAATTAGGTCTTACAGTGATTTGTGCCCCATTAAGGGTTTGTGCCAAAAAGAGTTAAAGCAGCCAGAGCTGGAAGAGCAAAAGCAAAATTTCCATTGCAGTCATTTTCTGTTTGAAGAAGACCTAGCATGCCGTTTGCCAGCTCCATGTTTTTTGCTTCTTGTGCTTTACTAGAGAAGTTTTGCACCAGTAACTGTTCAAAAGATTTCTTATTTATCTTATACTGGGTCTTGGTGCAGGCCCTGAGTTCATGCTCCATCTGAAACAAGCTGATTTAGCTCCTCCGCCTTAAAGGCCGCTGTCCCTTTAAATTGAATCAAAATCAAATCAAATTTATTCACAGGACAAGTCAAGACATAAAACATAACCAGAATACTTTTCTCTTATGTGTTTAGTAAATACTATAATGACATTATTTTAAACTTTTTCTGTGTGACAGTGTATAACAGAAGATAAGGTAAAGCACAAAAGGTCCTCTGTAGTTGTACCGTCCTGTGCAAAAGTCTTGCATCACCCTTCATTTCTTTCTATTTCGCCAGGAAAATGCCGTTTTTTGAAACCTGTGCAAACATACATGCTCTATTTGTATGTTGGCTGGTTCTGTTCTCTGTTAAGATGACCCCACAGTGTTTATAATGTCGAGGTCCAGGCTTTGGGGAGGTCAATCCATGATAGTGTTTCATTATGTGTTGTTCTATCCAGGTATGCTTTTACTGCTTTGGCAGTGTGTTTAGGATCATTGCCATGCTGAAAAATGAAGCTGTTGCCAAACAGATATTTTCCCTGTGGTATTACTAGTGAATCAAAATCTCATGGTACTTTCATGTGTTTGCATTTTTGTATTAGTGCTGACACCATGACCATGACAGAGCCTCCGCCATGTTTTACAGATGGCTGTGAATACTCCCTGTTGTACCTCTGTCCTTTGTACAAAAGAAAGTGAAATTTGGATTCGTCACGTCATCCGATTTGTTGCCAGATGCAGCTCTCAGGTCTTGTGTCAGGTCTTTGCTCTGACTTTTTTCTTATTTCTTAAGGACGTGACTTTCACAAACTGTTCATCTACTGTGGATAGTTTTTTTAAGCCTGCCACTTCTTCTTTTGGCCTCCTCTTGTTCAGTCTCCTCAACTTTTTTAAAGATGCTGTACATGCAGCGCTCACATATGCCACGTTTTGGTTAATAGCAAAAAAAAATACTATTTTATGTCTGAAAATGAGGGGTGGCTCAAAGCTTTTACACAGTACTGTGTGTTCTGCATGTGTTCAGATCCAGAGGAACGACACCACTCTGGGATTAAAAGGCACAGCAGTGAAGACATCTTTTTTTGAGATCAACGGATGGGAACATTTGGGGCATTTCCATCTGTTGGCCATTGCCATGCAGTTGTAATTACTGTCCATTTGCCAAATGCTGTACCGAATAAATAACACCTCTCAAGAGAATGACAAATGCAACTCAGACTTTGTGGGTTTGTGCACTCACGTGTGTGCTTCTGTCATCTTGCCTTATTTCCACAGCTCTTTCCATCCTGAGAGAAGTGTTGAGCTTATTGCAGTGATATTAAGCAGTTTGCGCTTATGCACACATCTGTTTGCCTGATCACGGGCTTTTTCCACAGCACTACTATACATTAGCATTAGAAAATCACACCATTCTTCACATCATGTCAGTGTCGCAGTCAAGCGAGATCAGCTTGTTGGAAAAACGCAGTAGCTGTGCATCGACCTGTCATCCCTACAACTCCTATCCACACTAAAACACACACACACAAAATATTTCTTTAGTTCTCCATTTTCCTCCTCTTCCCAAACTATGAAACCTGGCTAAGGTTAACAAACATCTTACAAACTCATCAATTACTGTAACTGGATCCTTTGGGAGCAACTTCTGCATTTAATGAATGCATTTTTTTCCACTGTTCAGGGTGCACAGGGTGCTTCACTCATGAATTAAAACATATCACTAATATATATATATGCATACATACATACATACATACATATGTGTGTGTGTGTGTGTGTGTGTGTGTGTGTGTGTGTGTGTGTGTGTATGTGTGTGTGTGTGTGTGTGTGTGTGTGGAGAGTTAAACCACTTAGTGGCACAGGTTTAACCATGCGTTTTTAAATGAGGCTGAGGGTAAAACGGAGACTCTGTGTGGTGTTTTGGCAGAGGGAGGGGTTATTGAAAGGGACACAGCCTTTGTGGAGCTTCAGAGTGCATCAGGTCTTTCTGCCTGCCCGGTGTACCTCTGTTATGAGATGACTGAGCTCCCCTGATCGACTCTGACAGGCAGTTAGAGCGAGTCCAAATGGAGAGCATTCTCTCTGATCAGCTGTCAGCCGTCATTAATCACACTCTCCCTTTATCTCTCTCTTGTGCTCTCTCATAATATCTTCCTCTCTTTGCTCCTGAAACCCTCCCTTTATCCTCTGCAAACCTTTTCTGCTCACTAACCCCCGCCTCGCCCTTTTCCCCACTTCTTCTGTGTTGATTTTTGACATGACACGAGGGCGGGATTTTGATGAAGACCAACCGGAGCTAACAAGACGAGATCGTATCGGCCACATGTGTTTCAGAGTGCTTCCCTTGAAGTTTCCTTGAAGCTCTCAGTGCTCCACAGTCGGTGACTGTGAGGAGATTTATTGCTTGAGTTTGAGAAGGAAATGAATGCTGAACTTGGGTCAATTTAATGGAAGTCTGATCATGTCAGGACAGATGGCTTACGCCTCTCTCTATCAAAATAAGACTGTGTGGTGTATTGTTAGGATAGGAAGGTAGTTTTTGGCTGCCATCCCTGTTTTCAGATATATTATGTAAGTTACTGGATTTAATTTACCAGATGGATTTGTAATTGACTCACTCTACTGAACTATGTATGTGAGTAGGCATTTTATTGGTAGATTAAGATTTAGTGTAGGGTATGTAATACAGTGGTGTGAAAAAAATGTTTGCCCCCGTCCTGATTTCCTATTTTTTGTATGTTTGTCGCACTTAAATGGTTCAGATTGTCAAATAAATTTAAATATTACACAAAGATAACACAAATAAACACAAAATCCAGTTTTTTGATGAAGGTGTTTATTATTAAGTGGGGAAAAAATCCAAACCTGCATGGGCCTGCGTGGAAAAGTGATTGCCCCCTAAACCCAATAAGTGGTTGGGCCACCCTTAGTATCAACAACTGCACTCAAGCATCTGGGATAAGTGGCATTGAGTCTTTTACATCGCTGTGGAGGAATTTGGCCCACTCATCGTTGCAGAATTGTTGTAATTCAGCCACACTGGAGGGTTTTCAAGCATGAACCACCTTTTTAAGGTCATGCCACAGCATCTCAATCAGATTCAGGTCAGGATTTTGACTAGACAACTCGAAAAGTCTTTTTTTGTGTTTTTCTTAAAGCATTCAGAAGTGGACTTGCTGGTGTGTTTTGGGTCTTTGTCCTGCTGCAAAACTCAAGTGCACTTCAGCTTGAGGTCATGAACAGATGGCCGGATATTCTCCTTCAGGATGTTTTTGTAGATTGCAGAATTCACAGTTCCATGTAGCAGAGCAAGTCTTCCAGGTCCTGAGGCAGCAAAAAAGCCCCAGGATATTACACTACCACTGCCATATTTTACTGTTGGTATGATGTTCCTTTTCTGAAATGCTCCGTTAGTTTTATTCCAGATGTAACTTGACTGAAACCTTCAAAAAAGTTCACCTTTTGTCTCATCAGTCCGCAGAATATTTTTCCCCAAATCTTGGGGATCATCAGGATGTTTTTGGCAAATGTGAGACAAGCTTTTGTGTTGTCAATCTTTCTTACTGTTGAATCATGAACTCTGACCTTAACTGAGAGATGTGAAGCCTGTGGTTCTTTAATGTTGTTTTGGGTTCTTCCGTAACCTCCTGGATGAGTCGTTGAAATGCTCTTGGAGTAATTTTGGCTTCACCATTGTTCCAAGTTTTCTCCTACTTCTATAACGGCTCTCACAGTGGTTCACTTGAGTCTCAAACAGAGCTGGGCAGTAATGCGTTATTGTAATCTGATTACTTTTTTCAAGTAACAAGTAAAGGGATTAATATTGCAAAAATGTAATTAGATTACTGTTACTTTCCCGTAAGCACGCTGCTGTACTGCGTTACTAAACTGTGAGTTAGTTTGTGAGAGTGTCTCATGACAATGACGTACAAGTGTGTGACGTCCATGGCAGCAACAGATGTGTGTAGATCAACAGTGGATAATATGGAGTCCGGGAGAGAGCACGACCGTGCAGTGTTTAAAGCTTGGAAGTACTGACATTACTTTAAGTTTGATTGCGTAAAAAGTGATAAAAACATTAGCGTCCACAGTACAATCTACATGGGAAGAAAACTTCTTTCTACAGCGAAAAATTAAACTTCAAATCTGAGCAAGTACCTAGCACGCTGCCACCAGAGTGTGAAATTCACAGGGAAAGGGGTTAGGGGTTGCAATGTGCATAAAGTTAACAGATTAAAACTACTAAAAAAAAATTTAAAGGAGACTTTTTCATTTGATTCAATTTTGTATCATGAAATATGCAGAAAAATAGAATTGGGCTTTAAGGTCTATTGCTTTTGAATTACTTTTGAAAATAAGTAATCAGTAACTTTAATGTAAAGTAACTGGATTGCCTTCTTGGAGAAGTAATCAGTAATTAGTAATTAATAACTATTTTCAAGTAACTTGACCAACACTGGTCCCAAGGCCATTCTTTGAGACCCTTTCCAGACTGACTTTGTTTCTCAGGTCTTTCTTCAGATTGTGACATGATGTACTGCCAGGTTCACTTTGTCAGACAGCTTCTATTTGAGTGATTTCTTGATTCATCAGGTCTTCCAGTAAATGTTTTTGTTTTTAGTGAAGCTGAGCACGGCTTTCCAAAGAATGTGATTAATCACAGGTAATTCATGATGTAACAAGAGGGGCAATTACCTGGTCCTGTGTGAAAAAGTAGGCTTGTATAACCTTTCTCCTTTAATCAATGATCATAATCAATCATCATTTAAAAACTGCATTTCCTATTTACTCAGGTTATCTTTGTCTAATATTAAAATTAGTTTGATGATTTGAAACATGCAAGTGTGACAAATATGCAAAACACTAGAAAACCAGGAAGGGGGAAAACACTTTTTCACACCACTGTGCAGCGTTTGACTGAAGTTGTTGTTAGTTACCGTTTCAACCTTTTAAGTTTAGCTTGCTTGACGAGATCCCTTGATTTCTCCTTCTCGTTTCAGTTTCATTCAGAGTGGGCTATAAAGCAGAGAATATTGTCCCTTTATCTTTCTTTTGCTGAGCTAGAGGAAGCCACTTCCAGCAGCCCTGTCATCGGGTTGGAAGCGAGGGAGATGTTTTTCGTTTTCCAGCTCAGTCAGTCGGTCCTCGCAGTGTAAAAAAGCACCAAAACAAACAGTGTGCAGAGAGGGAATGAAAGGGAATACTGTTTGGGAGCACAAACACAGCAGCTCCAACTGTACTTGGAATGTCTTTTTCTACCGGATGCCTGGCTGCACGCCAGCCGATAGGATCAGGGGGTGAAGGGGTTGAACACGAACAACTGAGCTGACTGATGAGATCAGCTGGTATCCACCTTGACCATGAATAATTGAAGAGGTGGACTCCACAACGGTTTAGCAAACTCTTCTGAAGAAAAACTCTTTTGGGCTTCTGTTTCTGTACACATGAGGGGTAGACCTTTGACTGCCTTTCTCACTCTCGTTATTTCTTCTTCTTTTTTTGTTCTTTTAAAAAAAAAAATAAAGGTCTTTCTGCATACCACAAGCTGTTCCAGGATCAGGAGCCCACTCACAGATGACACGAAGGCGACCAGAGGCACGTCCTGCCACTCTGCAGGCCTGACAGGTGTCTCTGCATGTAACTGCATCTCACAGAGGTTTATTCTGGGACGGGACAACAGATAAAAGTATGCCACACATCGAACAGGGTCCTATTAATTTCTCAATGATACAGCCACAGACATGCAAGAGGATAGTGTGCCAGGCCAAAAATGCCCGGCTTTGACGCAGGTCGGGATTTTGTTGCGCAGCTCCACCCCCTCCCTCATCGCCCTTGGCTACAATCAGTCCGTATCCCACAGTGCCCGCCCTCATTCTCTCCATGCTGTTGATGCCACAGGAAGATTTCACTGACAGATAGCCTTCAGCAGATGGTTCTTCAAGCCCTGTTGGTATTTTAACTACAGGATTCGTTGTTTTATTCTGTGCTCAGGCAGTAGCATGTCCACCACAACCATGCGTGCACATTTTTCTTCTTTTCTCTTTTTCTTTTCTTTTTTTAAACACAGGTGATATGCGGGTTTTGGTAATGAGAGACCTCTGTTAGGTTTTTGACAAGCATTGTTCAGCCTGCATGAGCAACTTCTCATTTTACAGTCATGAATGATAAGTGTGCAGAGAAGTTCTTTTCATGTGTGGCTTTCCAGCGTTAGACACTCCTGACTCCCACTCCTCGCTGGAAGCCACACAGTTGCCAAATCGGACTCCTCTGCCTTTTCGCCCTGAGGACATGTTAAGCATAGCACCCTTTTTCTTGTGGGCCTGATAATAAAATGTGATTGTATTAATGTTGTTCCCTTGTTTGTATCTGCAAAGATGACCCAACAGGGATGTTCAGGTTTCATGTAAAGAATGCAGTCGGCTTATTCCTGTAAACTGATGCTGATATTGTTTTTCTGGATGGACCAAATTCATTATTTTTGATTAAAAAATAAATAAATTATTGTCATTACATCAGTATTTATTTACTGTACATTGTCCAGCGTAACCTTTTTGGCCCATTTCTGTAGCTCAAAGCCTAAAATAAAAAGGAAAAGATCTATAATGAAGGTCGATGCTGCACCAGGAGACCAGTATCCTCACAGATATTCTGTGGCTTGGGACCATATAGTGAGTTCACTCAGGGGTGTGTTTATTTAAAAAAAGAAGATGTGAGGTAGTGGTCAGCAGTTTTACCATGTGTTTATAATAACTTTGTCTGAAATACTTGAATTTTGTGCATGATTTTCTCACATCAGCTGATGACTATCACCTGGGTGAGTGTGCACAGATTGTAGTTTTCAATGCAGTACAACAGGTCAACTGTTTTAACATGTAACTTGACGGTGAATGTTTTTGTAACATGTGCTCTTTGACGTCATGTTGTGAAGTCCTACCTATTAAAGCCAGAACTCCCAAAAGCAAGATCCAAATCAGTGTGTGTAACGTAATGTGGTGACAGCGTTGTTTACAATGTAAAGAAAAGAAAACTGAGACGAAAAACAACTCCTTTCCTCTGATAGTAAATATTTATGTTTTATTAACAGTAATTTGCTCATACAGGTGTCCCCTCTTGGATTTTCCCTTTATAGCTAATGTCTCTCCTATTCAATTCCCATATTAAGAAAAATACAAAGAGGCCACTAGGATGAGTCAATCACTGTATGGGATGTGAGTTTTTGAGACATGCTTAGAAAACATAAACATTTACTACAGGTGTTTTTTCTTTGTTTATTTTCCATATGGGCTGTACCATGTTATAATCTCTTTGACTGTTTACAATATGCATGGAAATGTAGTATTTTTGGGACCAGTGAGGCTGTTTGTAGCAAACAAAATTGAAATGAATTCTTGGAAAGCATTAAAAAACACGACGACTGTGACTCTAACCGCTTTTGTTCATTTTGTTCGAACACTTGAAGTTCAGCCCCTGACCTTTTGAAATAAAAACACCCTAAAACATGTGTAAACTAAAACATAAATACCACAACAGTAAAGGAGAAAAAAACGAACTGTCCAACATTTTTAATTAAAAAAAAAAAGTGTTTCCAAGAGTAATAAGAAAAACATTTACAGTTTGTGATCTATTAAAGTTCACTTAGTGACATTACATCATCTCATACAACAGAAAAGGCTTCATTTAAAAACAAAACAATCCCTGGAATCACCAGTCCTGTTGCATTATAGAGGTAAACATAACCATGGAAATACTACTTTGAAATAACGATCGGTTTCCAGCATGTTGTCTTTTCATTTAGATCATTTTTAATCGACAGCATTTAATCCTAAACAAACAGTGTAGGGAGCCGCGGCGCGCACAGCGTCAGTTTCCAGCTCGGACTTTTTGAATGTGTCCCGTGTGATGCGTTTGCTCTCTTTTGGCGTATGCTGAGTTTAGTCTGCATTCTGAGTCCTTCTCTGTCTCTCCCTCTCTCTCTTTTTAATGCATCCTTGAGAATGGATCGGTCATTTATTGTTCTGTTCCTCTTTCACTGAAAATAGCCTTTGAATACCAATAGTCGTGGACATGAGGTACAAAATGCTGGAAAAACAAAAAAATATGAGAAACACTGATGTCAGAAAGTAATTAACTACCAAGAGGTCTGATGGGTTTGAGAGCGCTGTTGGTGAAGTGGTGTATGACAGGTCTTCTAAGTATAGCTGTAGTGGACTCCATCTCTTTTTTCGTTTGATTTTTAAGAGCTTGGGCAAAGCTAAAGCATGGGAAAGAGGTACTCATGGAGGCCAAACTGTACATTGCCTGCTTTAATTCCTCATACCCGCTTCGGGCAGTGCTGGGAGTGATCAAATCCCATGCCTTGCTTCTCACAGGGCACCCCC